CCGTGTGTGGGGCGGCGGGAGGAGCCTTTCCCATGGGGTTACCAGGCTCCCCCAAGGCTCAGCGAGAGCCATCCGCCGCCGTCGCGTGGGGCCTGCACCTACCTTTTCCGGTTGCCCCGCTCAATCATGGCAGCCTTGGCGGCGGGGCGGGGCGTAGCGAGCGGGGAGAGGGCGGTGAAAAACCCGGCCCTGGGGAGAAGGGGGTCATGTGACAAGGAGGCAAGATGGCTGCCTTCCCGTGGTAAGGCCGGGAGAAGTACGGGTAGAGGTGCTGGGGAGGGGCTGGGCTGAGTGGGGAGGGAACCGCGCTGGGCGGGCGGAGGAAGGCGGTGGCGGCGGGTCTGGACTCGCGTAGTCTGAGGTGGAGAAGTTCCGGCTGGGCGGGAGTTGGTTCCTGGGGAAGGGTCCCTGATATTCCCCTATCTGGAGCCAGCGGGGCCAAAGCAGAGCCCGGCTCCAGACTCCCGAGCAGGGTGGGCTGGGGACTTCCCTGTCCCGCAGCTTAAAGAAAAGAGGGTGAAAGGCGCCTCCGCTCTGTCAGCCTGCCTAGTCTGTTCCCTGTTACCCCGTTAACTCAGTCCGAAAGCCCGGGGCAAAACTGCAGTGTCCCCTCTTCCCCCCGCCCAGGGTGCGAAGCTCACCTGTTTCGGAGGTGCATGCAGTGGAGCTGTTGTAAAGTTTAATTTCCTCCTTTCCTACAGTCTTTACCAGTAACCCTGACCAAAGCTTTCTGTGCTGTAAGGGACTTCCACAGTAACACACATATCAAGAACAACACCAATAACTTCCTCCTTGCTTCAGGACTGCTGCTTTGGAATGGGTCTAAAAGGAAGCCTGAAGCCTAAATGAAATAGCAGTAAGCTATTCAATTGTGACAATATTTTAGAAAGTTCATTTCTAATTTGGATACATACATACATGTTCCTTCAGAGACAGTGCTTCTTTCAAATGCCCCCATGAAAAGACCCTTGAAATTATGTTATCACAAGCCTGCAGCTGAGACCATCTGAAAGCAGTTAAAAAAACATACTTGAATATCACAGTAAAATCTTTCCTCCGAAGAAGGGGAGATACATTCAGATATGTTTTAATAATGTGGGACTGGTGTTACTTATTTGCATTTTTGTGACAAGGTGGGATAACCCCAAAGGAGTTGCTGTAGTTGACTCTGTGATTCATATATGCTTCCTCCTCCCCTTTCCCCCCGCCATGTAACCCTGTATTTATTTTTTCTTTGATGTCTTACAAAGTACCAAATCACAGCAGTAGCATGGAGGTGCCTGGAAGGCACTGCATTGAAACGTTTTTTTAAAAGTACTGAAAAAAACACATCCAGATGTGTAGCTTTGCACCAGTGTAGATGCAGGCTTGTCAATGGAAGAATGCATCTGTTGATGTAGCTACAATCAGCTGGTGTTTCTACACTGACAGAAAACCCCTTCTCTCAGTGTAGGCGATGGGGTTATATGCTGGCCGTATAGCCTCAACAGTCTGGACATACCCTAACTAAATAAGAGATAACAGCTGGATGCAGACAGAAGGGAGTACTAGGAAACAGTGAGCCTGTGTTGGTCAGCATGATAGGCAGTGGTATCAGTACGTTGGCAGCCTAACCATTATCAATTTATTATTTTTTTGGTAGGCATCAGGGCAAAGTAGAGTTTTGAGGAGGGATTTGAAGATGGATAATAGGTAGCTTTGTGGATGTACAAGTCTTCACAGGAGCGTGATAGAGATGTCCTGTGAACAGACTTTGTTATGTACTTTGTCTTTAAAAATAAGTAAGAACTGTACTTCAGAACAATCTAGAGCAGTCTCAATTTGGATCTAATTTGATTGTGTTGGATTTTATGTCGTCTCTTTTTGGAAAGAGAGGGATGGGAGGAGAAGAAAGAAGCCAGATTAAAATTCTGTTCCTCTTATAGTCCAGTGGATGTCCCTGTTGGTTCATGTTAGGATACAAATTCTGCTTCTGTAGTACAGGTCTGTCACATCTTACACGCATTTAACATGTGCGATATCAGGTTTACTTGGAAAAATAAAAAAAACAAAAGAAGAGAGAAAAATAACAATTTTAATATTGTACCTGTAGTGCGGGCGATTCTGCCCGCCATTGAACTCAATGTAATTTTGACTATACGCGGTTTTCGCTTTACATGCTAATCGCGGAATGGAACCCCGCGTAAGTTGAGACTCGCCTGTAATATGAAATATTTCTTTACTTCTGGAAAACTGAATGCAGAACTGAAGAAAATACTTAGGAAATAAGCTAAATAGTACAATTTCTGTTAGAGCAAGCAAGACAAGGAAATGATGAAATATTTTTTCTTTTGACAAGATAAAGAAAAATATGTGCAATAATTGTTTCCCGGCTTCATAAAGTTCATGGCTGCTTGTAAATAAACTAATTCCTGTTTTTGAAAGATTTGCTTTCCTGAAGCTTTTGTTCCTTTAAATAATAATCCCACTGGAGGTGATGGAAAACCACCTTTTCCCAACCTCAGAATCGATACAGAAAGTTACAAAAGTGAATGATGTGGCTCACCAGCTTATACAGGTGGGTTGCCAAAAAGTGCCTTTCATATCTATCAAATCTATGTAACTGCAAATCAGCTTGTTTACCCCACATGGTGCTAATTCATGAGCAAACCTGAATTTTTATCATAGTACAAATTTGTTTAGGAATTTTAAAAGGTCAGTGTTAACTATCATGGAAACCCACATTACCACAGTTTTTTAGATAATTTCATAATAAGAGTACTCAGTGTTTTAAAACTTTTTATATTTATAAATAAATATTTCCCAGAAATACATAAATACTACAAGTTTTGGGAGTGAAGGAAAGTTATAATAGATATGTCTGTGGTTATACTGTTTTTTGTTTTGCAAATACATGGAGATCTAAACATTGCCAATTCAGTCTTGTTATATTACTCTTATATGGACTCTCAATATCTGATTAGTGTTACTGTTGAGACTAAAAGGGCCACTATAAGTACTGCCTTAGGACTTCTAACAAAACCTCGAATGCACAGAAGGATCGGGGGTATTCAGTGCAGTTATGAAGATAAATGGTGTCAAATGTATTTGTTGGTAGTCTTAGAAGTTCTTACTGCAATAATGGTTAAGACAGACACACTGAACATAATATAGGGGTAGCCACAAATACACACTCCTCCTCTTCCCACCCCCCACCCATCAATCTGGCAATAAGATGCTGTGAACCTACAGGGATCAGAGTAGTTTTTTGGAATTTAGATTAAAGCCCAAAAAATGGAATTTAATATCAAGATATAAAACGGGTCCTTGAAAATGAAAAGCTCAGTAGGTAATTTGGAAATTGTAGAACTTAAATAATTGTAGATAAATGTAGTTTCTCCTGGTGAAAGGAATCAGTGTGTAACATGGAATGATAAGATGACACAGAGAGAAACTGGGAGATCTGGAGAAGAAAAATCTGTGAACATCACAGCTTGCTATGCAAATAACCAAGAAAGCTATTGTATTACAAGAGAAAAAAAATAGAATATAAAAGAGGTAGTATACTGTAGTTGGTGTGTAGGTGCTGGCTGTATTTCTTTAAGCATTGTTACTGTACTTAGTTAATGTTAAAATGATAAGTTGGGGATGAAGTTGAAACCAGCTTTACACTTAACAAATTTCAGTCTATACAGAAAAATTAAATGTAGCCTATCTTCATGGGAAGAAAAGGAGCTTGCATTAAAATGAAACATTTAGGTTCTAAATGTGGTTGATATAAATAAAAAGCCATTATATTTGAATAAAACTGCAGAAACCAAGGGAATTGAAAATTAAGGCTGTCATTCCTTAACTCACCTCCATGTGGCTTTTCTCTGCTTTTTATTTTTGTTTTTTCGTGTTACATGTTCGGTAAATAGTTATAATAGTTATTTGGATTTCATATTTGTCATTTTAACATAAAAATGATCTTCATTATACACGTATATATTATGAATACTGTGACAAAGTCACACTGGACAGCTGTAAGGGAGTGGTCCTATTGAAAATTCCAGGGGAAGTGGGCGAGCATAAGCCTGCTAGTGGCTAAAGGACCCTCCCCGAATGGCTAAAGGACCCTCCCCCAGCCTTCGGGGAGTATCCATTGAGTCCATTGAGCCGGGGAACTCAACTGATTACTGGGAACAACTAAAAAGAAAACAAGGGCAGGTATGAAGATCAAAGTGGAAGGCAGGTATATGAGCCCTAGAATGATAAAGGCCCTTTTCTTCATAAGCTGAAAAGGGGTTACCTCAGGTCAAGTAGACACACCCAAGTCCAATTAAGGGCTGCCTGAGGCCTTTATAAGGCCCTTCTCTGGTGAAAGGAGGGAAAGGGCGTGCAGGGCTAGTGGTATCAGGGAGAAAGTCTGCTCCAGGGTGGAGGGCTTTTTTTTTATTATTATTATTATTAATGGAGATATCCCATCTCCTAGAACTGGAAGGGACCTTGAAAGGTCATCAAGTCCAGCCTCCTGCCTTCACTAGCAGGACCAAGTACTGATTTTGCCCCAGATCCCCAAGTGGCCCCCTTAGGGATTGAACTCACAACCCTGGGTTTAGCAGGCCAATGCTCAAACCACTGAGCTATCCCTCCTTCCCATTGTTTAACAGACTGTTTAGGGAAAGGACTCACTGTTTAACCGACTGTCTGTTTAGGGAAAGGACTGGCACCCCAGGGCCAATAACAAGGCCTCACACCTTCAGCGTGTGTGTGTGTGTGTGTGTGTAGGAAAAGGTATTCCCGTTTGTTTTGGGTTGGAACTGTGTTTTTTGTTGGGTGGAGGGGTGCTCCTTGGGCTGGCCCTGAGGCCTGCCAGAAAAATGTTGGGAAATAACTCCCCAAGTGGGAGAATAAACACTGTCCAGAGTGGGGCTGACTTATTCCAGGCCCCCACCACCAGAGGGGGAAACGCTGTACCTGCCGAGATGGAGGAGGTGCCTTGCCGCAATACATATATAAATTCATTCCAATAAAAGGGATGCCTTCCCAATGGACGTGGCCGCTGCTTTTCTTCCCTCATTGCCCTTCTAAGTGCCAGACTCAGGTAGAGCAAGGCAACCTGCCTGTTATAGGTGGACATGCACCTTACAGTTGCCCAGAAGACTGGATCAGTCAGTCTGATTTCTGATGGAAGCTGGCTCCATAGCCATGAGCTTTCACCAAGAATGAAGGTTTACCCTTCTCTCTCCCCTTACTCAGTGAATAAATAGAAGATAATATCAAACCAATCGTGCACTCCCCTGCATATTAATTACCTTACAAGCGGTCTTGATCACTTAAACACATTGATTCTGTAAACATTTTTTACAACTTACATTTACAAACAGCTCACTCCGTGTACATGCATACACAGAGCAAATGATGCCTTAAAATTTAGTTATAATACAGTTGCCTTTTGGCTGAGGCTGTCATGCCACGCTTCAGCTGTCAAGACCTTTTTTTTTTTTTTTTTACTACTGATTTAGAAACCCCTATAAATGAGATGTAATGGAAATGCTGACAAAACTGTAAGTATAACAGGGTAATAGAAATGTTATAATTAGGAGCCAGTAAAGAGAGTGGGGTACATATTTTCATACAAATTCCAATAAACCCATGAAGCAAATGAACAAGGAGAGTCACTGAAGCATGGAACAATAGTAAATTCAAGAAAATGCTCATGTATAGTGAAAGCAGGAAATTGGAGATAAAGAAAACAAAAGGAACAGGCATGTGGGTTTCACTGGACTCTTGTTCTTGCTCTGCTTGTATCTAATTAGGCTTCAAAGCTTCTCCATTGATCAGCACAGCTATGACTTTGTTCTGATTTCTTGTTACAGAATTGCAATAGCAAGAGCGCCACAAAGGTCTACCAGTTAAATAATAATTACGTAGTCTGTTTCCTTTTTCACTTTGAAAAGATTACCAGCAAAGTTGGGGGGAAGAAGGGAAGAGGCAAGGAGAAATTTGGGTTTTTGCCCTTTTTAAATATTTTGCTTCTTTCCGCTACTTTTTTACACTAAGAAATTCAGATCCCTTTTAGGCTAGAACGCACAATAATGACTGGAAAGCTAGTGAAATGGTGATAGCGCAAGATCCCAGAAAGTGAAAGTTGAGGGGGGAAATGAATTTTTAGACACTGGCAGGGTTTTCAAATGAGCTCAGTTCCTATTTAGGCACATTGTCCCCAATGGAAGCTGATGACACTGAGTACTTGGTGCCTGAATGGAAGCTTAGCTCTTTTGAAAATCTGGCCTTTGTGTTTATTTTGTTTTTGTTGTTTTTAGCTTCAAGGACTAGCATTTTTGATAAAGTAAGCCTTTGTTCATTCAGTACCCTTGCTTGTTCAATTAAGGCACCAGAGCTCCAGTAAACATCCTTGCGCTCTCCCAAAAGTCCTTCAGTAATAAAACAGGGAAGGCAAATTGGGCATTCCTAATATTTCTAAAATTAAAAAACAGGAAAATGTTCCAGGTGGAGTGGGCAGAGGGAAAGAAAACCTTTTCAAACCAGGTCTTGCTGATTGTTGCCATGATCCCTAACTACACTAGCTCTATTGCTGTTGCTCTACTGTTGGAGCCGAATGTCTGGAACCAGTGGTGGAAAACGTTTGCTGAAATGCAGAGTATAGATGCTTCTAAGTCTCTTGACACTTCCATGAGCTGAGTAGAACTATACTCACTTTGCATGTATGGAAACTGTCTTGTCCCCAAAGAAACAGTAACAGAGCTGGGAACTTAAACCAGGAATCTTTACTCCCAGTTCCATGCATGACCACTAGATCGTGCTAGTTAAAGGGTTTTCATTTGATGTATTACTGAATTTAAGGATATATTTTTGAATATTTTTAAATATAACTATTAGCTCTCCTTCATAGATCTGTCCAGTCCTGGGTATGGAAACTCCAGTTTTATTCCTCTCCCCCATTTTAATGGCACACCTCAAAGATGAATTGCATTTCTAATTGTAGTGAACGATTAATAGAAACTGGGATTAATAGTAAAATAGAATGGAGGAAAAACTATAAAGCTGTGACTGGAGTAAATGTCTGCTGCTCAGCCTTGGAGTGCATTATCTATGTTGTTCTTCAAGTGCAAATCTTTTTCTGTTAGGGAAGAAAGCCTGGTTTTGTCAACAGGCTAAGAAGAAAAACTGTAAAATATGAGTTTGCTGTAAGTTATTTCTCTTAATAAAATATTTTCAGTAAGAATGGAAGCCTTTAGTACAATGTCTTGTTTCTCGTTCTTGCATTGCTGGTTATGTTCTTTCTTCCTCTTGTCAGCTGGCCACTGCAACTTTTAATTGTGAATACTGCGGAACAGCTGGATATTGGTTCCCTTAGTAAATTACCTAATGAGTAAATTATTTGCTGATTCTGATCCTTTTGATGATTAAATGCAATGGTATGGAGGCAAATCCAACTGCTGTACTTTAAATACAGAACAGTAAGTGGCAGCTACCTCCCTTCACAAACGCACTGCTCAGTTTTTATTTAGAGTATAAGAGAGCAAAGTAGTCAAGTCAGTTTACATATTAGCTACCCATGCAAAGGGAAACCTTACATCATACAATTTGATTTACTTTCCAAAATACTGCCTGGCGTATAAACATGTCTGCACCTATACAAGTGTGACAGATGCACCTATAAAACTTTTTCTTTATTCTTGCTTTTTAAGGCATCCAAGGTCTAGAAATTACACATCAGAGTTTGACTCATGCAGACTGGAGGCTGTACCTGTGGAATTTGGGGACTACCATCCACTGAAACCCATTATAGTAAGTTTCTTTTTGTGCCTTTGCAAATAACATCACTGTAAAGTGAAAACTACTGTTTCCTGCTGGCAACTAGAGGCAGTTCTGATTTCCTGTTGAATTTATTAGAAGAAAAGTTTTGGTTTTAAAGTCACTGGCAATACCAGTGAAGTACATTTGGGATGCTCCAGCAGCTTGCAGCTCCCACCATTTCTATAGTACTAGGGATTTATGCTGCTATTTACACAGTACTGAATGTCTTGATGTTATGTGCCAGAAAACGTCTCTTACTATTCAGAACAGCTCAAATCCTGCACAGCTTCTTGGTTACTTATGAAATGTTTCGTCATATATAAAAAGACCAGATTAGGACCAACTCATCACATTACCAGTAACCTGCCTAACTGCTTGATGTAAAACTTGTTGGTTTTGGGTTACCTCTAAACCAGCTGTGGTTTTAAAAAACACTCTATGAAATATTGCAAGCGTGCATGGGGCTCTACAAAACACATAAGAGGCAAGGTCCCTGCTTCAAAGAGGTTAGTTTAACTCTGGTGACTATGATACATGGGCAGCAGTTCAGACTCTGGAAGGTCAGTAGGGAGATCTGCACAGAAAGGAGCAGTCTTTAAGGGTGGATTTGAAAGACAAAAGGAAGGGTAGTTGGTACACAGGAAGTGGTAGGCTGTTTGAAGCTAAAGGAGCATCATGAAAGAAGGGATAAAAACAAGTGGGAGGAGGAAGCAACTGGGAGGGGGGCAGGGGGGAGAAAGAGTGCTTTTTGCTGCAGAGAATAGAAACAAAAATGGTAAAAGAACCTCTAAGTACCACCACTACAGCTGAGGCACTCCTAGTGGAGAGAAAAATTGTGCTATTTGGAGAATCTGTGCTTTAGTAAGTTATTAAAGTGGAAGTAGATCTTTTCATTTTACAGTTGAACTTCTCCTTCAGGTTACTGAATCCAAGACCAAGAAAATGGGTCGGAAAGGAAGTACTTCCTCTACCTCCTCTTCTTCTTCCAGTTCAATGGTAGACCCACTAAGCAGTGTGTTGGATGGCACTGATCCCTTGTCATTGTTCGCAGCAACAGCAGATCCAGTGACTACTGCAGCTAACACGGTAAAGCTCAAGGTTAATTATCTCACGCAGATTGAACAAAATAGACCTGCATAGAACTGATTCTTTGTGCTCTTGCAAGAGGTGTTTCAGTACAGAAAGTACCATATTAACTAATCAGAGAATTTCATTTACTGGTTTTCTTTTGCTTTAGCAGTTTTGGTAACGTTTACGTTTTTTAATGTTGTAAATCTGTGGAAGGGTCAGTAACACATGAAACATAGTAGGTCTTAACATGTCTGGTCACCTTTCTTAGTCTGCCTGGTATACATGAACACCTTGTTTGTGTTCCTCCTAGGATACTACAAGAAAGAAACGTGATAAAGACGACAGCTTGGTTGTAGGAAGTGACTTTGAACCGTGGTCAAGCAAACGTGGTGAAATCCTTGCTAGATACACGACGACTGAAAAACTCTCCATTGTAAGTGCGCTTCTTAATGATTTTGTGCAAGAACCTTAATAGACTATGGGTACTGAGAGACTACAGTAATTGAATACCTTGTGACTATTCCTTTTCTATGTAAACAAATTCAGTAAATTTTAATTTGCAATGAAGTGGAAAACCATCCCAGCAGCTCTAGCTTTTAGATATTCATAAAGAAGACTGGCTGATCTTTGGCCTATTGTACTCGATTATTTTTAGAGAGAGTCCAAAAGAGTGCTAGCCACTTCCCAGAACACAAATAGAGACATGGTCCAGGCCATGAAAAGCTTACAATCACACTTTATATCTCCATTAATTTATAGAATAAATATCAGCACTGAAAATAATCAATTCACTTTCTTAAATCGTTTGTAAATAAGTTAATAGTTTGTAAATACATGCTTTCTAAAATGCTGTTGTTTCTCTGCAGAATCTGTATATGAGTTCTGAAAAAGGTGAGTAGTTTCTCTATATCAAATGTCCTGGGACTATTATTTTAAAGAGAGAACAAATGACAGACCTTTGGTGCAAACATGCATTCAAATTGAAGCTTTCTTTCTCCAACTATGAGCTGATTCACTGCTATTGCTCATGAGAGTCCCACTGGATTTTTGCAAATGCGAGAAAAATAAAATTGATCTTGCTCCATCTAGTGGCTGCTGAGCACATTATTATGTGTAATTGAAAGAAACTAGAACTCCTGTAATTTACATCGTGGCTTTAAAAAACATCTGGACTGTTACTATCCCTCCAAATCCCCCAAAATTGGAAGGTTATTTTGGTATTTGGCTTGTCTTTATTAATTTTCCCACTTGCTTGCTTGAAGGGAACAAGAGGGGCAATAGAAGGAAGTGCTTTGCATAGCTGTTCAACAATTCTCTGCCTGGCTGAGAGAGAAGCATTGAAGGAGCCAATTCCAGTATTATACTGGCTGTTTAGTATGACACCAAAATCTTAATTTTTAATGCAATGTTTTAATTGTATTGTTAATGGGAAAAGCTGTTAAGAATGGGAGGCTAAGTAGTAAAGAACCTTCCATAGCAAGTAGAATCTTGGAATGCGTAAATATACAGGGCTCCAGCTTCTTAGCAGAAGAACCTGAATAAAAAATCTAGAGCCTGCTTTTTGTTTTGTTTTGTTTTAAATCTTTATGTGTTTATTTTTTCAAATCAGGCTTCACTTTTTGCAGTTGCTATTCTGTACCCACTACGAATTGTTGGGAGAAAAAGGTGAATGAATCGTTGGCAACATTCATTGTGTGCCTGCAGGAATGGAGGTCTTGTTTGAAAATCAGGCTCGCAGTCTCTCATGCTAGCAGCTGAATAGCTGCCTTAGGTCGTTGAACCACCATTTTGATCTTGGATACTGTTAGCTTGTTTAAATCTGTCTCTTCCCCTCAAGTCTTTTTTTTTATAGTTTAAGAATTTGAAAATTTTAAAGAACTCAAAGATGTAATTACCTACAGGAAAAGCTACAACGCCTGGCTCAGCAGTTTCTGAGAAGGTGCGAACAAGGCTAGAGGAGCTGGATGACCTTGAAGAGGTGAGCAAACTGTCCAGGAAACATTTTAAGAGAAAAAAGATTAGTTGTGTGAGATAAAACTATTTAAGAAACTTTCTGACTTATCCCTAAAGCCCTGATTCTGCAAACACTTATACAGTTGATTAACTCCTTGTACTTGAATAGTCCCATTGAAAGTGTGTGTGTCTGTGTAGAATTGGGGCCTACATTTTTAGCTCATTGACAAACAGTACCCCAAAAGGAGAGTCACTGGGCTGACATTGTATCATTTATCTCCTATAGTTGCTGTATTTAAGCTTCCCGGTGTCTGGTAGGCTCTGTCTCTTGTTGCAGAGACTGACATCTCTCCTAAGTAAGGCACTGATTCAGTCAGGCACTTAATATGCATATGTTTAAATACTTTAGTCCCATTGAAACCAGTAAGGCCACTGACATGCTTGAGTACCTTACTGAATTGGTGCCAATTCTGCTTCAGGGCCTCCAGGTCTTATGGCTAGCTTCAACGTGGATCTCATGATTAACACAATATTCATTTTATAAATTCAGCATGATGTGAGTGTGTGTCAAAAGTAACATCTACTTAAATATCTGCAGATTAGATTCTATTAGCGGAAGGATAAGTGTATCTCAATAATATATGATGTATTCACTACTGAGACTGAATTGCCTAGCCTCACTCACAAAATAGTGGTTGCTTCTGCACTTCATCCCTCCATTTGTTGATTTATTTTCCAGGTAGTCATTCCTGATACGTAATCCTTTACAGGGACCTGCTGTAGTTCCGACATGACAGTACTTGAGTCTTGCTCTTTATTTTTTACAGATGAGTAGCTGGGAGCTTTACAATAACTTTTTGCCCTAGGTCTGCACACCATTCTTCAACACACTTTGGTTGTTCATAAATAGCCGTACAATGGTGTTCATATGAAAAGGAATTGAAGGGTTAGAGGAACTCAGGCCCGTTTTTGTACTTGACCTGAAAGTAACCAAAGGACACTTTATTTCTGCTGCTGCTACAACTTAATAGCAGTCAAAGACAAAACCACATAAAAATTTAAAGGAATAAAGAATTTCATTAGAGGAGAGGTTCTCAAACTGTGGTCTGTGGGAGCTCCATTTAGGTGGTCCACGGAAGTTCCCTTTAAGGTGCATGCTGGGTGGCCGCATGCAAGAGAATGAGGGACTACCCACTTAATTAGAGGAGCCGCGCAGGCGTGGCTTCACTAATTAGGTGCATGGACCCTTGTGAAGATGCACATGTAAGGTGAGGTGGTGGCCTTGGGGGGGATTTGGGATGTGCAGGGCTGCGGCGTTCAGAGAAAGAGGCGACTTTCCCCAGCTCCAAGGCTGTGGCTGCTGTGGTGGGGGAGATATCCCCCCTCCTGCCCAGCCCCAGCTCGGGGGCTGCCGTGGCGGGGGAGACCCCCCTCCTGCCCAGCCCCAGCTTGGGGGCTGCCGCGGCGGGGGAGAGAGGGCACATCCATCACATTAGAAAGGTAAGACGACTGATATTAAAATATGAGTTGTGTGCTTTTATTTGTAGAACAAAAAAAGTTTTTGTTTTTTTTATATATAGCACTTTTATCCATAGCGCTTTACAGTAGTTAGCTAACGGTACAAACAACATTTGGCAAGATCATTAAGTGGTACACCGCTACCCTCAGCAATTTTCAAGTGGTCTGTGAAAAAAGAAGTTTGAGAACCACTGCATTAGAGAAAATGGCTTAGCAGCATGAGGGTCAGTCTGATGCTTGTGTTCTTTGAACTCTGCTTTATATTTTAAAGGTATTTGGTTAATATAAAGAATATAAGCTTTAAAAGGGCACTGTCAAGTACTTCATATATTTATGTAAACTTTCATTGTGTTTGCCCTTTTCAGTAGAAGCAGAATTCTCTCCTCCTGATTTTTCTCCCTGTCCTTTTGGCCAATATTGTATAGTAATGTTTCTAGTGTTGGAGCCAGCACAACTGCTTTATTTACCTTTGTTTCTACACCAGCATTGCTGATCTCACCAGGAATATTCCCATAAGTGGAGGGAATATTTATAGGAAGACATGTTCTATGGGGGCCTAAACCAAAACCCAAGACTCAATATCTCCCCTCCCTGGATTTTGGGGAAGTTCATATCTGGCTCTGATCTCTGCAGCTTGGGGCTATATTGGTTAGTGAATTGCTGCAACAAAGCAAGCACCTTGAATGTGGTATTTTGTTGTATCATACTAAAATGGTGGGAGAAAAACACAGTTATTACAGGAGAGCGGCTGGTAGCTCAGCCTGTTGTTAAGGTTTCCCGACATTTCCCATTATAACATCCAGTTTGCAGTTGCTTGTAGCTGCCAAACTTTAAGCATTAATTAGGGGTAGTATTTCCTATGCTGGTTTTCTGCCTCATGCTGAATTTTTTTTTTAAATGTCAGCCAAAACTATTTAGCATGAAGTTCTGTGCCCACTAGAGAGCCCTCCAGAGCCTAGAATGGAACCCACGATTCCTAAGTCTCACCCTTCCTCTCTTGTCAGCAAATATCTGTGAAACCCTCCAGCAGCTGTCCCCCAGTGCCCAACACTGAGTGCTCTGGTCACAATTACGAACTGTGCTGTTCAGGGGTCATGGAGACCAGAAGCTCCCCCCCCCCCAACTTTCAAAAATTCACAGGGTTTTAAGTGCCTTTTCCTGATTGCCCAGCTTGGCGAGCACACCTAGCACTCTCCACTGTTGTGTACTACTGCCCAGATGAACATGCCAGCTACGTGCTCAAGACACGCTCTGGCCTGGAGTAGACCAGCGATATTGGATCTCCTGAGCCTGTGGGAAGAAGAGGCTGTGCGGGCACAGCTACAGAACAGCTGTAGAAATGTGGACATCTATGAGCAGATTGTGTGAGGAATGCAGAAGGGGTATGACAGGGATCTGAAGCAGTGCCGCGTGAAAGTGAAAGAATTGCAGCGAGCATACCAGAAGGCCAGGGAGGCCAACAGTCCATCTGGTGCCAAGCCACAGACCTGCTGATTTTTCAAAGTGTTGTATGTCATATGTGGTGGAGACCCCACCAGCACCTTGCATGCAACCATGAATACTTCTGAATCACAGGCCCCTGGCGAGAACAGTGAGGAGGAGGGACATGCTACCAGGGGGTCCAGCTATCCCACAAGCCAGGACCTGTTTGATACTCTACCGCACTCCAGTGAGTTCTGGCAGTTGAATACGGGCAAGTCTGATGGAAGGGAAAGAACCTCAGGGTAAGTATGTAATTGTATTTCTCATTACTATGATATACTGATGATGCCCCCAGCTTAACAGGACACTGCTATTGACTTTTCGTTAACTTACTTATACCAGAAGAGGTAGTGGTACAACAAGGAGAGGTAAAGTTATCTACTTTTCATTCCCCTGTAGAGTTAGGCGCGGGGATGGTGGCATGTGGAGCAGTTTGTGTATGTACACAGGATGTCCCTCAAATCCTCCTGAGAGATCTCGCGACAACTTTCATGGAGGCACTCTGCAATCCTCTCCAGAAGGTTTCTAAGGATGGCAGCCTTATTTCTTCCTCTGCAGTAGGACACTTTCTCATGCCAGTCAGCGATAACTTTGGCAGGCACCATTGCAATAAACAGGCTAGCAGCATATGGGCCTGTGTGGCTTCAGGACTCCAGCAGCAGCTGTATTCTCTGTGCCTTTGTCACGCTCACGAGTGAGATATCAGCTAAAATCACCACTGCCTGTGGAAAACGGTGCCAGTATTCAGTGCCATTGCCTGGTTCTCATAGTTTCATGTACCTGAGCAATCCTCTCCTCATTTCCCTTGTCCCTGCCAGGTCAAACTCATCATGACTGCTGCTGTGAGTCGGCCCATACACAAGCGCTCCGAAGCAAAAGTGTCAATAAGCATGTCTTGTTTAAAACTTTAGTGGAGCAAGGGAAGGGAGTTCTGAATCTTAACTTTCACTTTCCATTGTGACTGTACCAACAATGGTACCTCTGTGTGTTTTACCTGTAGCTGCAGCAGTTGCAACCTTGAGGGGTTCCCCCTCCACACCCATGGAACGTCTGCACGAGGCAAGGAGGAGAAAGAAGAGGACTCAGGGTGACATGTTCAGTGAGATCCAGTGCTGTATCAGATCCTTAGCAGAGGGTCTGGAGGGTGAATATTACAGACTGTATGGAGAAGGAAAGAGCGGACAGGAGAAAGGTGCAGGAAAAGGAGAGGGAGATGCATCAGGACATAATGGAGCTTCTCTGGCAGCAAACACAGTTTCTGCAGACTCTTGTGGAACTACAGATTCAACAGTCGTGGGCTTGCCTTCCTTTGCAGTCCGCAGATAACTCCATTACAGCATCTCCCCAGGGCCGGCTCTAGGCACCAGCAAACCAAGCACGTGCTTGGGGCAGCACATTTTGAAGGGCGGCATTCTGGCTGTCTCTTTTTTTGCTTTGGGCAGCAAAAGCCTAGAGCCGGCTCTGGCAGCAGCAGCGCATCGCCCTGGGGCCGCTGCGGTTCGCGCCACGGGAGCAGCGAAATGGGAGCAGTGCCCACACCTTGTGGCTGGGCCGGGCAGGCTCCTAGCGGGGGACACTCGGGCTGGGGGTCGCCCCTCGGGGCACACGGAGCCACCTGCAGATGCCGCAGGGCAGCCGCCCCCCCCCCCCCAGCGCCGCAGCCGGGGCTGGGCGAAGCGGCCCGAGCCGCCCAGGGACGGCGGCAGGGTGGCAAGAAGCAGCAGTGGGGCCACAGAGGGCGAGGCGCTGCCGTGCGGGACCCGCGTCCCGTTCTCCGGGGCTCTGCTCCCTCTGGGGCTACCCTGCCCCGGCTCCTCAGCCCCCTGCCGGGGCAGTCCCCCGGCTCTGCCCTCCTGGGTCCTGGCCGTTCCTGGAAGCGGGAGCCCTGGCTGGAGGGATCCTGGGCTGAGGTGCGGCCTGGGAGTCCGGCTGCTTACCCCGACCCTGCCAGCGCCGGACTGGCTGGAGGCGAGGGGGGAGTGGGCGGAGTCAGCACTGGTGGGGGGGGGAGCCGAGGTCTGGGGCGGCAGGGGGGGTGGGTTGGGGGGGGGGAGGGAGGCCCGGGGCTGGGGGGAGAGGGGGTGCGGGGGGGGGGGGGGGGAGAGCCCAGGGATGGGGGGCGGCCAAAAAGTTTTTTGCTTGGAGCGGCAAAAACCCTAGAGCCGGCCCTGCATCTCCCTACACCTCCTGCCCCAACATTCCATGTAGCATCAGGGGCTGCATCCCTACCATTGCCACTCCACCCTGGGGAAGATTAGACAGCCACAACTTCACATGCAGTGACCTGGGAGCCATGGTTGATGTATGTGTAGGTAAAATGGACATGAATGTACTTTCCCCTTCTTTAAGCACTGTTCCATAAATGTATTAAGGTTTTAATGTATTTGCATTTAATTTGCACAGAATTATTTTTGCAGTGTGTTTTGTTACACAATAAAATTCTGTTTGGAAAATAATTTATCTTTATTAGTTCTCAACATATGCTGCAGAATGTCTAGTGGTACTGAAAGCACCCACTTGTTGTACAGTGTGACACAACTCACTGGATCAGTTAAAAAAAACACCAGTGTAATAATCATAAATGTACAACAAACATCACAAAATTAATAGGTGCATTGACATGGTTATATTCATAGATGTACACCAGGTACCACATAATTCCTAACAGGCCCCAAAACAGCAGGATCAGGGAGAATACAGTACACCACAGCACGTTACTGTGGCTCATTCTTAAAGTGCTCTTTCAAAGCCTCCCTTAGCTGTATAGTTTCGCGTTGACCTCTTCTAATAGTCCTCGTGTCTGTCTGTTCAAACTCAGCAGACAGCTGATGCATCTCTGTCCTTCATTCCACTGGCAAGTTTTCTCCCTTGCTTCACAGATGTTATGCAGGACACAGCAGGCAGCTATAACCACTGGGATTTTTTGTCACTGAGACCATTCTTTGAGTAAACAACGCCAGTATCCCTTCAATCTACCAAAAGCACATTCGCCTGTCATTCTGCACCTGCTGAGCTGGTAGTTGAATCTTTCCTTGGCTCTGTTGAGGTGGCCAGTGTACGGCTTCATGAGCTGGGGAGCAGAGGGTAGACCCGGTCCCCCAGGATCACTATTGGCATTTCAACATTGCCAGTGGTAATCCGCCAGTCTGGAAAGAAAGTCCCTGCTGGCAACTTTCTGAATAGTCCTGTGTTCTTAAAGATGTGAGCATCATGCACCTTCTCTGACCAGCCAACACTGATGTTAGTGAAGCATCCCCGTGATCCACCAACGCTTGCATAACCACAGAATATTAGCCATTTCTGTTGATATATTCTGTGGCAAGATGGTCTGGTGCCAGAAATATATATATGAGTGCTGTCTATTGCCCCACTGCAGTTGGGGAAGCCCATTGCTGCAGATCTATCCATTATGTCCTGCACATTGCCAAGAGTCACAGTCCTGCATAGCACGAGATAATTAATGGCCCTGCACACTTGTATGACAGTGGCCCCAGGGTTAATTTTCCAACTCCAAAATGATTTCCCACTGACTGGTAGCAATCTGGCATTGCAAGTTGCCAGAGCACTATCACCTATCACTTCTCCAGTGTCAGTGCAGCTCTCATTTTGGTAACTCTGCCCTGGAGGATGGGGGTGAGCTCAGCACACAGATCTGGGAATGCTCTCCTCATCTGAAAGTATTGCAGCCACTACTCATCATCCCAAGCCTGCATTACAGTGCAATCCCATCAATTGGTGCTCGTTTCTTGGGCCCAGATTCAGCACTCTGCTACCTGCAGCTGCTCCGTGAATACCACCAGCAACCTTGAATTGGTCCTTGTTTTGTTCCACAGCAATCTATCCTCCAAGAAATTGTCATGCTCCTTGCTGATTCGGTTCTTTTTCCAGCTTTGCAGATACCTGAGGATAGTGCATCCTATGCTTGCAACTCTCATGACAATAGGTCATAGCTATGCAGGCTCCATGCTTCTGTCAGAGATGGCGGACGGAGAGGAGGGCTGTGTGGGTTCGTGGGATTTTTTTAAAAAGGCATGAAAATGTTGGGATATACATGATGTTATGGGATGGGGAAAGTTGCATCCTGGGAAGTTGACCCCTTGCTCCTAGTCGCCTTTGTGTGACTTGTTTCTGCTCCATTATGCATTGCCAAAACTTCTTAAGAGACAGTGCACTGGACGGTGGTGAGTTGCACACTGGCATACCTACCCCTAATTCACCGCACTGTGCTTTGACACAAGCACTCCAGGTGCATATGTGCAGAACTGATGCAAGGAATCAAGTAGGCAAGTGCACAAGTGATATACCAACTGCGGCAGCTTTATGCCGATGTAACTTGTGTGGTCAAAAGTTTGTAGCGTAGATGGCATGTTAGCTCAAGTGGCAGAGCATGTGCAGTGGATCTTAAGGTTCCAGCCTTGCTGATGAGCCTCAAGTACTCAACCTTAAACCTAACATTTCCTAATTTTTAATAGATTGGCTAACTAATAGGTATCTTCTTTTTGTTGGTTGCCTCTTTATTAAATGCTGCTGTTTTTTCTTGTCAGGGTTCACAAAAAGAGCTGTTGAATTTGACTCAGCAGGATTACATGAATCGGATTGAAGACCTAAATCAGTCACTGAAGGATGCCTGGGCCTCTGATCAGAAAGTAAAAGCTCTAAAAATAGTTATCCAGGTCAGTTTATAGTGAATAGTGCCTCTCAAATCATACTTAAAGTTAAGCATAGACTCAAATACTTTGTGGATCAGGGTTTAAGTCTCTCGAAGGCAGCAGTGAAAACCCCATAACTGAGAACACTTAAAGTTAGACTGGACAAAACACAAGAAAATATGCTGTATGGAATAATCTTAATTAGAAAGCGGGATGGATTATATGATAGATCTTTTAGATCTCTCATATTTATAACGCTATAAACATTTAAATTGCTGTAAAGTTATTGGTGATCACATGCATCTTCCTCTTACATCTGGTCTTTTTATTTTTATTTTTCCTAATACTGTGCTTATATGATGATATGGGAAAAAAATACTCAAATCAACATAATTGATACAAAAAATCGGGACTTTGAAAATGCTTTTATGTTGTACATTTTAGTGCCATTGGTAATTTGACATTTTCACCTTTGTGACTATATTTTTTTTCTATATGCTAAGGTGCAAAGATAAGTGGGCGGGGGTGAGAGGGAGTGATGAAGAAATATATGCAGACTAGGCTGGATCTCTTAACTGTTTATTTCTAGACATTGTATCATTTTGTTTTTTTAATCAGTTTTTGTAAAGGAACTACATAGTTCACTTGTCTCCATTGAAACTCACTTAGCTCTTTTGTAAAAGCTGATGTTTTGTGACTAAGATATTACTAAGAGTTTAGTTTCTCACCATTATTGTTTTTGTTTTTGTTTTGTTTTACTATGAACTGATAACCTCTTTGAAGTTGTTCAAGTATTAAAGAGATGAAAAATTGCCCAATTGGTTTGAAATACTGGATAATAAAATGAGGCTCCTTGAGGAAATCAAAATACTTAGATGATCTAAGAATGCTTAAGATATTCTCTCTGATACACATGCTTGGTGTTAATAATTTAGAAACAATAGCTCGGTATCTTTAAGATGCTCATCACGTTAAATATTTACAAAAAATACACATTTATGATTGTTTCACTGCTCTGGCAAAAAAATACAAGCTGTAAGCTCATTTAGTGGAAGTGAACATGCTTATTTCCCACTCTGTTCATTTGAAAGTAGCTGCAAAGGGAGCCTGCAATTCATTGCACCAGATATCTGGAGATGCATCAAGTAGAGTCCCAGTGTAAATTTTTTTTTTCATATGAGGTGGCAAACTGCTGCTAGCTTCCTTTCAAGGACTGTTTATTGGCTTACAATGTAAACATTATTCAAAGAAGTTGATATCATATTCCAAAAACATGTGTTGTGAGCTGCTTGCAGTGTAGATCATATGTGGAAAATATTTGTAACAGCAAGTGTTTTCATCTAAATATTTGTCTTGGCAGTAATTCTGCTTAGATTAATTTATTAACACTGTTCTGATGCAATGAAAGTTTTAACTTTTTTTTTTTTTAGTTTTTGATTAATCTTCAAATAAAATAAAGCCTGTAGGACCTCCTATTAGTCAAAAAACAGTTGAAGTAAAACCTCTATCTAGGGCTTCATCATTGTAGTATCATATTGGATATATTCTACACACATTATGTACTATCCTCTACAAATAATAAATGGCTTGGAGGGCAGTAGCTAGGAAACTTTACCCTAGAATAAAAATAGTTCCTGAGATTGTGCATATTGCCTGAAGTTAACATCACAACTGAAGGGACTATTGATTACCAGGTTTCTTTTATCCTTGCCCATCTTGATTCATTTCTGGGTATGGACCTGAGACTACTAATATTGTTAGTAGCTGATCTCCTTATAATGTATGGTGCCCATGCTGATTACATTAGATCCTTCAGCATTTCTTGTCACCACTGACCACAAGTATTGTTTCACTGCAAGGACCTTGCAAGAGTGAATGGGAGAATCTCTGCAGTTTCTGTGCTGCTGCTTAATCAAGTCACAGTGGGTAGTGCTGCATAGCTGCTCATCTTCCCTGAAGGGTGGTCTTCTCGCAGGAGATGGGCCTCTTGGAGTGAAGTGGAGTAGAAAGCTGTCATGCTGAGTGCTCAGTGATGCCAAATGTAGACTACTGTCCACCTCTGGCAATAACAGCCTGCTGTTGGCCATGTCATCAGTTTCTAGGTAGATTTTTTTTTCTTTAAAGTTGATATCCATTTGGTTTGGATACCTAATAATTCAGAGGCAACAAAGGAGTGAAAAAATACCTTTACTTTGCAAATCTTCCGTACAGTCAGGAAAAATGAATGAACATTTAAATGGAAAACTTGTTTCAGCAGGTTTCACTGGATCAAGTCACAGTTAAATTTTGCCGTCTGCCTGCCTGGACTGAAAATGTAATAAATTAACAGTACTGCTTCTCCTAGACTGATTTTTCCATAGTTTTGTTTTAAAATATTATTTGTACTAGGGTAGCACTTAGAGGCCCCAGCCAGGTCTGGTTGCTATTGTGCTAGGCTCTGTACCGACATATAGCAAGAGACAGGCTAAGCCTCAGCCAGCTTACAGTCTTGCAGGCAAGATGCAACAGGCTGATGTGACAAATAGGATATGGAGACAGGACAGGGAAGCCCTTAATACAATCATGTTTAGATTAGGCTGGCTGAGTGCACAATTCGTATGTGCAATAAGACAATCAGTAGTAGTAATCACGGCTTGGAAGTGAGTCTTACACACGATAAGGTGGTGTTTTTAGGGATTTTGATTGGGGAGGAAAAGGGGGTTCCTAGGTATAAGGGGTAACATGGGAGAAAATAAAGGTGCTTGTGGGAGAAGTAGATGAAAGACTGATAAAGGCTGTTAAACTGCACAATACAGTCAGTAAAACCAATTTCTTTAAATTTTTATTGGCCGGTGATTTTTTTCCCCCAACAAAATAATGGAAGGATGGCTAGCATAAGCTGCTGTTTTCTGCCTATCCTGGTTTAGTAAAGTAATTGAATAATCTGATTTAGCACAGAAACAGTTCAGAGGTTCTCTACTGATGATGCACAGTGTTCAATTGTATTAATTTGTAAATTACTCTTTTTTTGGGAGGGGAGAGGGGAGATGGCATGTGTGTTAAACAACAGGACAATAGGACAACTGAATGTTAAAACTTGTATGAATTGGCCTTTAGATGAGGCCAGAGGCAGAGTGTGGTGAAGCTGCAGCAATCTTAGAAACTGAGAGACTGATGTAATGTTAATAGTCATCAGGAAAGGTTACATAAAGTCAGGATTGTTTTTCCAGCAGTGGATCCCCTTTGGAAAGCTGTTTAAGTTGGAAATGCTAGTAAAGGTTACAAAGGAAATGAACCATAAATCAGGAATGAATAGAGTTCAGAAAATGCTCTTTGAGTTTGGATGATTATGTCTTTTTGTAGCACCAGGGAATTAGTAGTATTATTAAAAAAACAAATTGCCATGAAAAGTGTGGTGACCTAATAGTATTTTATCACAAGAAAATACAATACCATATTACAACGCCTTTGTTGAGAGGAAAACACAGAATATAAATGGGATTGCTGAGTCAAAGGAAGATCCTAAGACATGGTTCTGTCAGACCATGTTTCTTGGAAACATCATTCTATCTTGTGATTTACTTAACCCTCCTACCCCCAAAAAACAACACTCTCAGTGGTCCCTGAGTAGTGTCATAGGAAAAGCATAACTACTTCTCACCCATAGGAACCCTCCTTCTACATGAAAATTTTGTTGCAGACAAATCCCTGCCTGATTCTAGGCCTGGGCATTAATTACATCTATATTTCAGTTACTGAAATATTATACCAATTCCTGTGGTAAGGGATGGAGGAAACAGAATGGCAATAAATTGGTGTTTAGAAAAGAGTGTGAATGAGGGAACACCTTTACTGGAGCTTCACTATTGCTGGATTACTCTGAATTTGAGATACTATTAAACATATTACTATTCCCAAACAGTTTCCTAACGAGTACAACATTATGAGCATACTAAAGGGCGGGAGCATACTTTATTCCCAGAATTAAACATTTGTCAATAGGGGGCAAAAACCCAGCCGCATCACAACACTAGAAGTAGCTTGGTTTAGGGCCAGATTGTGAGAGAACCTTGTTAGGGGAATGGAAAAGTACAGACAGAACTTTGCCTTCCACACCTCCATGCAACAGCTTGTACAGTAGCAGTACACCTCTACCTTGATATAACGCTGTCCTCGGGAGCCAAAAAATCTTACTGCGTTATAGGTGAAACTGCGTTATATCGAACTTGCTTTGATCCGCTGGAGTGCGCAGCCCCGCCCCCCCGCGGAGCACTGCTTTACCGCGTTATATCCGAATTTGTGTTATATCGGGGTAGCGGTGTACTTGCTTCGAGGGAGTATCCTGTGTGCCCCTGGGGGGTGCACAGTGCCCCAAAAGGAGTAAAGTGAAGAAGGTCCGTGCTCGTGGGTTCATTGCTGGGCATGAGTGTGTGGTGTGATAGTTTTTGTTTTCAGTACATATAGAAGGGATAACAAAGAATTACTGGGAAAGTAACTATGTACTGTTCACAAAACTCTCTTGGAAATATAAGGCAAATGAGATATATGATAAATTTAAAAGACTGCAGGAAACTTTCAGGTTTGACCTTGACAGAGTTAGAGACACATGATTATTGTGGAAAATTCCAGCCCCATCCTACTAATAATTTTAGATTCAGAGCAAATGCTGCTCTGCTAGTCTGAGTGAGAATTAGAAATCTTGGGGGCAGTTGTGTGTCTGTCTTTAAAGCTTTCTGTTCTCCACTAGACGTGTCAACATATTTAGTAGCTTGTTTTCTTGGTATGATAGTGGAAAGTCAGAACATATGGAAACTAATGTTCTCTTTGGGTACGTCTACACTGCAATAGAAGACCTGTGGCATGGCTGGAGCTGGCCCAGCATAAGCTGTCTTGGGCTGGAGGGCTAAAAATTGCAGTGTAGATGTTTGGGCTCAGGCTGGCACCTGGGCTCTGAAACCTTCCCCCCTCATGGGTTCTCAGAGCCCCGGCTCCATCCTGAGCCCAAAAATCTATGCTGCAATTTTTAGCCCTGCAAACCCGAGACAACTGACCCGGGCTCTGAGACTTGGTGCCACAGGTTTTTATTGCAATGTAGACGTACTCTCATTATCAATTAGGTGAACCCATCTCACAATGAATATATTAAAATATACAAATTGAAGAGAGAACGCACAAATATTTTAATAGCGCTTTAACGTTGTCATCCTTAGATTAAGTGAACAAAGGTGTGTTGTGTGGTGGCTGCCCACAATGCGCTTGGATGCCCATAATGTGCTTGGATGTATCTGTTACCTGAGGGGAGAACTACATACATACTTAACAGGCAACAGTGGAGATAGTTCTCTTGGGTCACAGGAGTGAAGAGTCTGGCTTTTCTTTCTTGTGAACTCTCTAGATCCTCTCTTGGTGAATAAAGCAGTGAGGCTGAAAGCACTATCCCACTTACGCTTGTTCTGTGTATTGTTCCAGTATGGTGATGCTTCAGCAGGTCACTTCCTGAATGTTGGGAATAGAGTAGAAATTGTATTTTTAGACAGTTTTTTCCCCCTCTTCAACTGTATTCATTCCATTCAGTTGAAGACTGTCTCCTGATTGCAGGGGAAGGGCCATCCTGCAGCAGAAGGGACCTGGGAGGGTTTTCTACTGCTCCTCTTGGTGACATGGAGAATAGAGAGATTTCTTGTGCAGCTTTAGGGGTTTTTTTGTTTTTCAAGAGAGTGTATTGGAGAGGCAGACTTGTCCCTTTACTCCTCTCTTCCCACCCCCAAGCCTGCTTTTCTTCTGCAGTGGGAGCTGACTATCAGTAAACTTCTCCCAAAGATTTCTGCTCCAGCAGAGCTTATTGCTGTGTCCTACCATATATGTACCATATCTTGTATATTTTCTAAGTTGGTCACCATGTCATTTGATTCATATGCTGCTCCATATGATATTTCACTTTTTGGCCCTATCTAGACTAGGAAATAGGCTGTGTTTAAACTATTAGCAAATGTGCCTTTAAACATGACTTTACACCTACCATTGACTCAGTTTAGCTCTTTAGTGTCCACCACTGTGTGTTTGTGTGTCTGTGATGTGGTTGACCACAGGTTTCCCTTTTATGGTTACCATGACCAGCAGACATGTTTTAAAAGGTCTTAAATTATGTTCTACTAGATGCAAGGTTGTGTTTAAAAATATGGTCGCTAGTATGTTTTTAACCATAACCTATTTCCTAGTTTAGATATGCGCTGTGCATATGCTGGGTATAGATGCTTGGAAGACAGATTGTGATTAGCACCATAGAAATGCTTTTAAATAAATATTTTTTTAAATAGGTGGCATTTTCCTTGTATTTCTCACTATCCTCTATCAGAGATCATTTGTCTTGCCTGAGTGTATGTTGAAGTCTTCCCAGGCCAACTGAAATGCTGCGCTGGGGATTTCTTAGCATGAGGGGAGACTGACTGATGGTGCTGCTGCTGACTCTCCTGAAATGGAGAATATCAGCATGATATTCTCCAGAGCCAAGTGTCACAGTTTCAGGGTAACTGCACCTGTATTCCCCCTCCATGGTCCACTCCGGGAGTGCCCAGTCAGGTCTCGAGTCCCCAGCCATTGTTTGTCTCAGGGCAGGGACCCACGTCCCACTCCCTTCTGAATGGGGGGCTAACGGCTGCACAGCCACTGTCTGACACTGTGATATCCCCAGCAGGCCAGTCTGCCTAATGGCCAGTATTGTGCTTTGCTTTCTCTCTGAGGGCTATGGCCAGTGTAGTGCCAGCAGTTACAAGTTACCACACAACTCTTTTTAAGCAACCACACTTATTCTTAAGGTACAAGCATTATAAAGAAAGCAGTTTTTAAAAAAGCAAGCCCCAGAACAGATTGAAATGTACACTAAACATACCAGCAGTCACCCAGCAGTCTTATAGGGTCATAGTAGGCCAAAGTCTTTCCAACCCTTCTGCAATGGTTGGGGTCTCCCTTGGAGGGAAGGTCCTGTCCATTTGCTGAATCAGAAAGAAGGCCCTGTGTTAGTTTAAACTCATCTCCTTTTATACCAAAGCCCTTTCATTACCAGCTGGTCTTTGGAAAACCCAGTCTGAACCAGTATATGCAAACCTTCCGAGGGGATGGTACCCCGCTGCAGGTGTGCCTGAATGATTCACCTTAATCTCCCCTTCTGCCCCACTGTTTTTAGTTCCTGGAGGAGCTGTGGTAACCCACCCCTGCTGAGTTGCATGCAGTCACTGACCCACAATGATACATAAACCATTCAAAAACTTAATACAGTGTGGTCCTCAAAGATGCTGCATGTGATTGCAATATCTGTCACAGCAGGCATCGTGCAGTGTTCTGTCAAATGATTCCAAAGTCTCTAGGGCTTTTTGTATGGCACTTCCCTTTGCTGATTCCATCACTGACTATCTTTAAATTGGGTAAACATAATTTTGTATCCTCCTGGTAAAGCTTTGTTCCTTTTTCTTTCTTTTCTAGTGTTCTAAACTTCTTTCGGACACAACAGTAATCCAGTTTTATCCAAGTAAATTTGTTCTAATTACAGATATACTTGATACATTTGGTAAGTACTTACAATGGACCTATGATGGATCCATTTTTATTAATTTTTTGTAACATTACAAAATATTCTAGAAATAGAACCTGTAAAGAGTTTTAAGGAGTTAACATCAACTGCTTTAAGGATTTAACTTTTACAAAAAATGTAGATAGTTTTACACAGTGTTCCCTGTCTGATCAGTCAAAGATATTAAGTACAAACCAACACATCCTGGAGAGAGAGAGAGAGAGACATGGATAGACATGTTTCTTTGGACTGTCCTCTCTCCCTTCGCTAGGCTTTAAGTGATTTCTGGTCAGGTTATTGTATCTTTGGTTCCTTGAGATCCACTCTCTCTAGCTGTGTCCATTTTGGCTATTTAAAGATAGTGGTGCGGTTGTGATACTATTAAGAGGGATTTTCAGATCGTCTGTTAGCAAGCCATCTTCAAAATACGCAAAGATCTACCTGTCTCCTCAGTCATCCTTTGATGCTGGAGCACTTACTAATTGCCCTCACTCTCAGACCATCTCAGACTTTCACTTTTTTCAGCTCCAGTGCACCTCCGCTCTAGTGAGTTCCTAGATATGTTTCAGGTTGGATTCCGGCTGCTTCTAGGCTTGAAACCTATTGATTAGGGGCACAAATAAACTCATGCTAGATATTGTTGGGGTCAGTTGGCTATCTTGGTGATGCTGGTCTTCTCAGCAGCCTTTAATATGATTGACTGTGGATGGTTGCTTTGGCAATTGAGGGATATAGCTTTTGTGTCAGGAATTGTTCTCCATTAGTTCCTTAGCTATGGGAGTCAATTGCTGGTGATGGATAATGCAGAGTTCTTGCAGGATTTGTCTTACCTGCAAGTTCCTTAGCTTATGTTCAAAGCTTCTTAGCAAAGTCAAAGTATTATAAGTATAATGATATTCTGCACATCTTGTCCAGGGGCCTTACTGACTTCTGGTCTGGAGAGATGCTTAGATGACATTGCTGGCTGGACATGTCAGATCTTTCTCATCCTTAACTCATGGTAGGCGGAAGTGTTGCTAGGTATTAAGAATTGTTATGAGGAGTTTCTTCCCTTCCTTGATGCCTTTACTTACTGACTGAACATGTTTTAAAATAGTGAACCAGGTGAAGAGCTCTAGTTTTATTTTTGTTTTTATCTTGCAGCAGCAACATAAGCCTTTGTAATCATAGGCTGTGTCAACTAAAGTAATTTCTTAGGATTGCTTCCAGCAGTTCTTCTCCCTCACTTACAGATAGTACAGAATGTACCAGCATGTCTGGTCACTGGATTGAGCAGCTGTGCATGGCGAACTGGTGATATCATTTTTAAGCTGATCCTCTTGGGTTTTAAAACTTCTAATGAGGAGGAGCCTGTCAGTATTTTAGAGATTCTCCCTTAGTCTTGTCCTGGTGGGTTTCTGCTTTCTGACACTGTCCACTCCTTTAGGATTGGTGACCTCCTTAGGTCAGTGGGTGATTGAACCTTAGTGGTAGCATCCCCTGTGGATCTCTTTCCTCTCTGGGCAATGTTATTTTTTTTTATCCTCCCTACCTAATTTTGAAAACAACCCAAATTAAGTTTTGAGGCAATCTAATAACCATACAGTCTTGTTTCAATTCCATTCTGCCTCTGTATAAGACTCCCTTGAGGCATCCCTAATGTGCCCATCACCATGGCATCTAAATGTCTGGCTCAAAATTGGGACGCACTAAATCTGTCCATAAAATACTCTACTCTCCACCCTCTCTTTATTTATCTGCTAACATTCAAATTACTAGATCTATTTTTATCATCTGTCCATGAGAGTGCTGTACTTTAATCCTTGTTTGGTGAAGGAAGGCTTATGCAAAAAGTTGGGTCTTGAAATGTGTTCTGAAACCAAAATGATAGCATGTTGTTTTTTATTGTATTTGGCTTTGTATTGTCCATATTATGTTTGTCACTGTTTTCTTGGTGCAGTACCTTAAGTCTCTTTGCCAGGGTATGCAAAACACTATATGCTACGTTTGATTAATGATGTGTTTATTTTCATTAACTGATTCTTCAGATTTTCATGTGGTTCTCTTATTTATAACAATTTTAAGTAATATCAAATATTTAACCTAAAATAGTTGACTGTCCCTTTAATGCTGTGTTTGGGCTCAGAATATTTTTCTGTTTTGTGTTTCTATATTATTAATAATCATGTTTAATTTAGATTCCTAACAAAAATAAGTAAGTACATTACTTTGCGGCTTGTTTTAGAAATGTATTAGTAATCAAAGTAACTTCTGAAAGCCAACAATCAATTCTGTTGCAGGATAATATATTGTTTCACAGAATAACCTTGAAAGATGAATAATCATAAATACATACAATGTGCCATAATACAATGAGTACCACTAAAGTAAAGTCATGAGATAAACATAATTTGTTATGGCTGTATGAATTACCAGTTGTAGAAAACTAAGGACTCTAGGGAGGAAAATAATTGAGATGATTAAATAGTTGGCTATGTTTTATTATTACATAAACAATTGTCTCAGTTGGCTGTCTTCTCCTAGGGAGAGTACATTCACAACAAATACAAGATTAATTCTGTGGAGTTTCAATACTCATTTTGCCTTATAGGTAGATGCTCACACAAATGCAAAAGAAAGAAATATAACTTCAAGGATAACTGGAGATGATGCATCTCTCTGGGTCAGATCGCTAGGTAGTCTCTTGCCATCAGTAAAGCATTTTAAATCAAGTAAATCTATTGATATGGCAGCTATATTAGATTTGGTTTTTGTGAATTATCAACATGATGAAACATTCATCAGCCACACTAAAGTCTGTGGAAATGCCTTACAGATTGCCACTAGCCTGATCTCGACATGTAAGTCTAAGCAAGCAGGAAAAGAACTGGAAAATATTGTTGTCTGGACACAGTTGCTTTTTAAATCCTTATTTGATAATATAAATGTTTTATGCTTAAAACTTCCTGATTCTCTATTGAGGTATAATAACCCTCTCTTAAAGCTCTTGGAGGGATAGCTCAGTGGTTTGAGCATTGGCTTGCTAAACCCAGGGTTGTGAGTTCAATCCTTGAGGGGGCCATTTGGGGATTTAATTGGGGATTGATCCTGCTTTGAGCAGGGGGTTGGACTAGATGATCTCCTGAGGTCCCTTCCAACCCTAATAATCTATGATTCTAATGACCATAACAGTAAGCAAATTTAGGATGAGTTGGAAAATGTAAAGTTGTAATTTCACTAACTTTAAATTGTTATATTCCCAGTCAGATCCAGTGCTTGGATTTGCAGATAATAGCAGCATATTGCTCTTGTCAGTGGCTTATGCCCTGTCTCCCTTCTGGAGCCATCTCATTTGACCCTGTTCTTAGTTGGCAGGAAATCGAATTAGGGCTCAGTATTTAAACACAGTTCCAGTTAAGCCAGCTTCTAATGTGGTATGGATGGGCATTTCTAAGTTTGAACATGATTTGACTCCATCAGCTCACTGACTGGCTAAACTATGTGAAACTGGCTTAGCTGGGACAAAGTTCAAACACAGTTCGTAGCTCCATTGTAGATGGGGGAGCCGCCTTTGACACAGGGCAGATGGGAAGCTCTTAATTTTCCCGTACTATATTTTCATATTCTTTTAATTCACGAAGAAACCTGACTCCTGAGGTCAAGAAGGAGATTCTCATTAATTAAATTAGGTGCTCTGTTTATCCACTCCATAATTAGTATGTAGGACTCCAAAAGTAGGCGAGTTAAACATAGGGTGACCAGAGAGCAAGCGTGAAAAATCGGGACAGGGGCTGGTGGGTAATAGGCACCCATAGAAGACAAAGCCTCAAATATCAGGATTGTCCCTATAAAATCGGGACATCTGGTCACCCTAGTTAAACATTTAGGCAAACAATAATACAGACAGATTAGATTAGGTACATCATTCTTCAAACAATGCTTCAATGGAAGTGTTTTATTTAAAAAAAAATCTAAACACTTTTCTTTAAATCTCCAAAAGGAAAAAGGTGCACTTTATTTGTGTGTTTAACAATGAGAGGCTAAAACAAAACTATGGGAAAGGTCAGGATCTCTAAACTTTGAAATCTAAAACTATATCTTAGGTTAAAATAGTGTGTTACGTAATGTTTCAGGAAATTATCACTCCATCACCTAACGGCTTCCTAAACCTTAACAGTATTTCATTCCATCTCTTCCTGTATGTGGAAGAGTTGAACTATAAAAGCTTTCTTTAATTGGATATAGACTATGAAATGATCAAAATGTTTTTGCTGAATTATTTAATCTAATTAATTAAAAATAATCTTGGATTTCTTTAATAGTGTGGAACTGATTTATTACAGCCTTTAAACTTGAAACGTATTGTTGGTGTTTAACAGGATGTGCTGTGACACAGATGCAGTTGTTTTTCCAGGTTTTATTTTCCCTTTATGTCCTTTTCTACTTATTGACAGTTGCTAACAATAATACAGGATCCCTGCTCAGTGAAGAGGGGGGCACCAAAAGTTATTTCCTGGTCAACAGGAGATGGTTGGAGTAATCTGACCTATCCACTGCCTCTGCTCTTAGTGGAACTAAGCCAAAGAAATTACAGCATGCAAAATCAGTGCAGACCTTCAAATCTCTCAGATTCACTAGATGGCAGCATAATATAATGGAGTTCAAGGAAGTCTTTGCAGATGAGATTCCTGGGCCCTGTAGAAAACCATCATTATTTCACAATTTGCATTTTGCAATTTGCTAAAGATTAACTTCTTATTTTCTTGGCAGGAAAACTAGTATATGAAAGAATTTTATCCATGTGTCTGGATAATCGCGGCTCTTTACCAGGTAACTTTGTGCCTGCCTTGTGCTGCTATTCTTGTAGAAATGTGTAAATTTACCATGTTTACCAAGCTAGGTTTGGGATTGTGAGGAATTCCAACAATACGTATCCTGAAACAAATTCAGTTTTGCTTCCAAGCTTTATAAAAGAAAAACACATGGGAAGACTTTAGTGCATACCTCGATTCCTATGGGGGAGAACTAGAGTTTTTAAATGGGGCCAAGCCAATGGTGGAGTAGAAAAATATGACCTGGTTAATGTCCTCTGAAAAGAAATTAGTTTGCTTGTGTTTGCTGAGTTTGGATTTAGTTGCTGTTCCTAGTTTTTAAACAAGGGAAAATGTCCATAACAGGTTACTTTAATCACTCCCATAACTTTACATAAGTTTACTTCCTAACTATAGATAACCCAACATAAAACTTGTCACAGTAAAATGTACTCGTTTCCAGTTTTAATGGTTCTGAACATTAGCAGGGTCTGTTTGTGGGGCAGGGGAGGGTGCGTAACTTCTAGGGCAGGAGGAAGTGGAAGACAACAGTTGGGAGACAGCTAGGGTGGGATTACTATTCCCACTCACTCCAATCCTAAAACAAGGAAAAAAACCTGTGTCCTCTTCCCTCCTCATACTCTCGTATGCTGAGCTGCTTCCTACAGTTTTTCAGCATGCTTATAACATGATTTTATCTGTCTGCACAGATAAAAAATAAACCATATTACCACACTGTTTGGCCACAACCATGTTTAAATATGGTTATTTTCATGTTGTAGATGAGCCCCTCCAAATTTCGTTATAAAATAAAAGTATTTACCTTTTGATTTCATCACAAACAGCTTGCAATACTAAACCAGTAGCATCGTGAGAAACAAGTCAGTAATAATATTTTCTTTGGTGAGCTTTCTTTTTTCTCATTGCTATTTAACACTCCACCCTCTAAGGACAGCTCTCTCTGGGTGAAGCAAGAGTCAAAATATCTTGGAAAGAAATCTCTACCAGCAATGATATCAGGAATGAAATTTTCCGGTAACATACACACACTCTCACAATTTCTTATGCAGAACCCTGCCTTGAGCAGCTGTATGAAATGAGAACAAAGTCATTGGTATTTGTACTCATTCTTTCTGTTCCAATAAGGTTAGAACTTCTGATTTAGCACCAGAGTTCTCTGCCTCCAGGAAACCAAACTACAGTGTAGCTCTTGCTCATTGAAGGATACCTGAGTTATGTTTATCTGTGAGGGCACAATTGCAATGCTTTTGTGCAATGAATTTAATTTGTTCAGCATTTGCTAATGAAACCAATATATTATAGAAAAGAACCTGTCAACAAAGCTGATTTTCCTTTAAGTGGTAATCATTGCCTTTACTTTAAGCAGATGATCAAAGTGTATTTCCAGTATGTTCAAGATCACTAATTCTGTGATGACTTTTTGCTATAGTTTGAGGGATTAGCATTTTGAGGGTTGTGTTAATATCAACTATGTTCGGGTTAGCACTATTCTTAACTGACTTGGCAGTTACAGCACACTTGAAATAAAGACGTCACATTCCCATAGTGCTGTGTTATGTAAAAAGCCTCTAGCTGTGGGGGGTGGGGAATTGCACTGTTTCTCTAAAATTTCGACACAGGCTTAGTGTTCTGAGGAACAACAACAAGCACAGCAGCAGAATAATAAGTAGAAATGGAAAAGAAAATTCTGCTTCCAGTCAATTTCATTAAAATGCTTTTGCTTGTACATATATTTCCTGGTTCCTGACAGAAAGGCATGCAGATTATGGATAGAACTTTGTTCCTTCACCGTTGTTACTAAAATTGTAAGTCCAGTGGACAAAATTGGGGGAAGAAAAAGCAAAGGTCAACCACTGCTTGCTTAATATTGACTAATACATACCTTGGAGTGAGAAATATCTGTCTAAAGCTGTGTAGATAGAGAAGAGCCCTTTGAAATACTTTCCATATACTGCTAAAAGCTGATTCATCAAAAGGTGTAAATTACAAAGATTGAAATATAAACAGACACAGAACAGAGAAATGAAGTCTTCTCCCCTGAGAAGACTGTGCCTGTGCTTTTTAAGATTACTAGGTTGGTGAAGATGCCACTTTTTTTAATGGTTTACTGTGAAACATCAGGGTGCAAATTAAACAGAAAGCAAGCTCCAAATGGGGTGGGTTGTGCAAATAAAGGTTCCAGTCTTACTGCAAAACACTGTTAAGATTGCTTTGAACTAATGGTAGCAGGGACAGACTCATAGGCTTCAAGGGTGGTCACAATCTTGCAAATATCTTGGGACCCAGTGGAAGATCTGCACTGAGGACTTCTGGGTTTGGGGCCCTTTACCTGGTAAAGTCCCAGCTCAGTGCCAAAGATTCTCCTTCCTCCTCCTCCCCCCACTTTTTAAGCAGGATGATTCTGGGAGGAGATAGGAAGGCCAGAAAGAGAGGCTGAATAATACTGCAACATAGAAATTATAGAGATGTAGGGCTGGAAGGGACCACAAGAGATGTCTAGTCCATCCCCCCCATGTCGAGGCAGGATTAAGTATGCCTATCCCATCCCTGACAGAAGTTTGTCTAACCTTTTCTTAATAATCTCCAGTGACAGAGATTCCACAACCTCCACACTTAACCTGTTCCAGTGCTTAACTATACTTAAAGTTAGAAAGATTTTTCTTAATATCTAACCTAAATATCCATTGCTACAAATTAAACAGATTACTTCTTGTCCTCCCCTTAGTGCACACAGAAAACAATTGATCACTGTCCTCTATATAACAGCCCTTAACAGATTTTGAGTATTTTTATCAGATCCCTACTCATTCCTCTGTTCTGTAGGCTAAACATGCCAGTTCTTTCAACCTTTCCTCAGAGGTCAAGTTTTCTAAACCTCTTATCATTTTTGTTGCTCTCCTCTGGACTCTCTCTGGTTTTTTCACATCTTTCCTAAAGTGTGGCACCCAAAATTGGATACAATGCTCCAGCTGAGGCCTCACCCATGCTGAATAGAGCAGAACTATTACCTCCCATGTCTTAAATGTGACACTGCTATTAACACCTCCCAGAATATTTGCCTTTTTTGCAACAGAATCACATTGTTGACTCACATTCAATGCCCATATAGCTATGTCTGTTGCCACTTTCTGTATCCAAGATTTGTTGGGAGGGAAGTGGAGGGTATTCATCTTGTATAAGCACAAGTATAGGTATCAGCAAAAGGATGGGTCTGGAATTATCCATCACTAGTTAGCATTTCCCATGAAGCTGAATTTGATTAAGGATTTTGCACTTTTGCTACAGCTCTCAAATTTAACTGTGGCAGTATTATGAGGCTTCCATTTCTAGATTATTAAACACTCCTTTGGAATATAGACATTTCCTTGTCAGCATTATTATTCAACGTGTGTCAAAGAGTACCTTTCCTTGAAATGTGGAATATTCCACCAATACTTGGCAATGCAGCTGCCACACAGAGCAAGTCTGCCTTTTTTTTAAACTTTGTCAGTAATGATGAAACCGTTTGAAAGTATTGTGTGCCAATGGTGTAAAACCAGCAGGGTTTGGGGGTACTTTAAAAATTAAACTATAGGGAATCTTACAAGTAAATTTGTAAGACTTCAGACAGAGACCTCAGTCTGTGTCAGGAACACTGCATATTCATTGTAATGTGTTCGTAGATCTTGGTCCTTAAGTGTTAGGTTTGCTTGTTGGTTCAGAACTTTGACTCTGGGTGTTTGCTTCTGGTAATGTTGGTTGATGTCTCGCAAATTATTTTTTTTATACACCTGAAGTAAGCTAGGCAACATCTTTGTTAGTTGAGTACATTGAGACACAGAAGTTCAGTGGCTTGTCTGAAGTCACACACTGGGCTCATGTCCTATCTGGTAATAGAGCTCAGGAGTTGTGACTGCCAGTCACAGTTTTTAACCACTGAACTAGACCCCATTCCCTCCCTAATGACTTGAGAGAGTTTAATTTTAACCAACAGGATTTCAGTATGCAGGTTAAGAAAGTTTGGGGTGTAGCCCAGTGGGCTAGCTTGCCTTTATTATATTAACTGCTTTGCATTCTATTCTGCTTTTATTATATTCAACAGTAATTCAAGGAACCTACAGGCATGTATCCTGTAAGACAGGAGTGGGGAACCTTTTTTCTATCGGGCCACTGACCCACAGAAAAAATCAGTCGCGGACCCCACACAGCCCGTGGGGGGGGCACGGAGGCTCAAGGCTTCCCCCCACAGCAGGGTGAACCAGCAGTCATGGCTCCAGCCCTGTGGTGGGGTGTGGAGGCTCGGGGCTTTCCCTAGGCTCCAGGGTGGGGCCAGAAATGAGGGGTTCAGGGTGTGGGAGGGGGCTCCAGGCTGGGACATGGGGTTGGGGTGTGGGAGGGGATGAGGGCTCCTGCTAAGGGTGTGGGCTCTGGGGTGGGCCTGGGGATGAGGGGCTTGGGGTGCTGGAGGGGGCTCCGGGCGGGGGCAAAGGGATTTGGAGTGTGGGAGCTGACTCAGGGTTGGGATTGGGGTGCAGGAGGAGGTTCAGGGTGTGGGGTCTGGGAGGGAGTTTGAGTGTGGCAGGGGATTCTGACCTGGGGCGGGGGGTTCAGGGTGCGAGCTCTGTCCGGCGCTTACCTCAGGCGCCTCCTGGTCGGTCGTGCAACGGAGCTAAGGCAGGCGCCCTGCCTGCCCTGGCTCTGTGCTGTTCCCAGAAGTGGCCCCCCATGTCCAGTCCCTAGGCGGAGGGGCCAGGTGACGCTGTGCGGTGCACACTGCCTGTGCCTGCAGGCGCTGCCCCCACAGCTCCCATCAGCCATGGTTCCCGGCGGATGGGAGCTGCGGAGCCAGCACTGGGGGTGGGGGCAGTGCGCAGAGCTTCCCTGATCACCCCAGCTCCTAGGGGCTGCAGAGACGTGTGTCGTTTCTGGGAGCTGCATGGAGCTGACTGGACTTTTAACGGCCTGGCAACCCCAGCTTCCCCCTGCAGCAAGGCGAGCCGGCACTCATGGCTCCAGCCCTGCAGGGGTGCGCCGAGACCTGGGGCTTCCGGCCCACAGTGCGGAGACTTGCCATGGCCCGGATGAAATGAAGAAGCAGGCTGGCAAGTTAGCATAAGGCTTGAGGCCTATGAACTTTGACAGATAAGTGGCCCAACTGAAACTCCAAGTATTGAGGGGTGACAGGTTCTTGTCCCAAAATCAGGCCCAGTATTATTCAAATTATTATATAGTTGGGAACCCCGATGTGCACAGTTGCAACATTCACACTATAGGAACTCCTCTATATTTACAAATAGTTTATTACTATATTTACCACAGTCACAAACACCCAACTCAGTAAGATAGATAAAGTTGCTGCAGAATGTACATCTGCACATCCATATACTCACACCATCCCTTGTAGAGTGAGCTGAAATGTTAGCCATCATCTTCCTCATCACCATCACCTTCCCCCTCATTACCAGTGGCCATCATTCTGGCACCTCCCAAAGACTACATCTCCTTCCGCTTCTAGGCTGCGAGGCGACTTTTATATGTTATGCTGATGCCACTATGTTTGATGCATATTCAGTAGGAGATTTCCCCCCCTTTTTCCTTATTTGTATATCCTCACCTTACTAATGTTGGAGTGTCCTCCGAACGGTTAGTATATCAGTGATTTCAATTTATTATTACACCTCTACCTCGATATAATGCTGTCTTTGGGAGCCAAAAAATCTTACCGCGTTATAGGTGAAACCGTGTAATATTGAACTTGCTTTGCTCCACTGGAGTGCACAGCCCCACCCCCCCGGAGCACTGCTTTATCGCGTTATATCCAAATTCGTGTTCTCTCGGGTGGCGTTATGTCAAGGTAGTGGTGTATATACATCAATTCGTTACCATGGCCCTCTTGTGGTTAGGTATCTGCGGATATAGCGCATGTACCTGTTATTAATCAGTTGAGAAAAGTACTAGTGTACTAGAGACAAAGAAACAGCTGAGGAAAAAGAGGAAGTCCCTGGTGAGTTGCAGTGTTTCTGACTAGCATCAAATTCTGACTGAGAGATTAGTTAAATTAGTTCCTATCCCGGGTAGGGAGATTGTTCCCATGCGCCCATCGGGGTCCCATCTGTGGGTGCTAATCTGTAGCCCGATCTATTGATTTATGTATTAATTTCTTAAGAATCCCCAGTTATCTCTTTGAGGGTTGACGGGGGCAACACTTCTTGTTCTAGTCACAATCCCACTACTCAAAAAGTGAGATTTTTAGGCTTCTACAGGGGAGGAGGTTAGGGGTTGCCAGGTGTCTGATTTTTTTTTTGACCAGGAAGCCCGGCTAAAAAGGGACCCTGGCGGCTCCGGTCAACACTGCTGACCAGGCCATTAAAAGTCCGGTTGTCGGCGCAGGTAGGCCCCATACCCAGCTCCACGCGACTCCTGGGAAGCTGCTGGCATCTCCCTCTGGCTCCTAGGTGGAGGGGCGATGACGGGGGCTCTGCGCACTGCCCCAGCACCAGCTCAGCAGCTCCCATTGGCCAGGAACTGTGGCCAGTGGGAGCTGAGGGGCCGATGCCTGTATGCATGGGCAGAGCCATGTGGTCGCGCCTCCGCTTAGGAGCCGGATGGAGATATTGCTGCTTCCGGGGAGCCCGCATCCCAAACCCCCTCCTGCGCACCAACCCCCTGTCCCAGCCCTGAGCCCCTCTCCTGAACCCCAAACCCTGGCCCCAGCCCAGAGCCTGCACCCCCAGCCGGAACCCTCATCCCCCACACTCCAACCCTCTGCCCCTCTGCCCCAGAGCACTCTCCTCCACCCCAAGCCCCTAATCTCCAGCCCAGAGTCCGCACCACCTCCTGCACCCCAACTCCCTGCCTCAGCCCAGAGCCCCCTCCTGCACCCTAAACCCCTCATCCTCCTGCACCACCCCAGAGCCCGCACTCGGAGCCCTCACCCCCTGTCGTACCCCAGCCCAGTGAAAATGAGTGAGTGAGCGAGGGTGGGGGAGAGCGAGCGACGGGGGGGGGGTGGAGTGAGAGGGGGTGGGGTCTTGGAGAAAGGATGGGGTAGGGGGTGGGGCAAGTTGGCAACCCTAGAGGAGGTGAGAGTAAGGAGCGGGAGGGTGTGAGAGGACAAAAGCAGAGAGGACAATAAAGAGCAGTATTTCTCAGCTCTTCTGTATGAGAATTTCATAGGAGTTACATGTCTAGCTCTAAAATAACAACATATATTATGAGCTATTGGGTTGACATCAGAAATTAGACCAAATGAAATAAATCAATATTACTATAAAATAGAAGTGGAGCTCTGGTTACCTAGCATTGCTGCTCACTCTGGGTTTGCAGTCAAGCAGTCGTCCGTATTGCTGGAAAGGAGATCCTAGAATTACATTGTCCAGTTCATTACCGTATGTTTAACTTCTTTTTAAAAGGAAATACTCAATGTGCCCTTTTAAATAAATGTAACTAATGTAATTTAATTCAGACCTAAATGTAATATACTTGGCTCTGGCTTTGTTTTTACAGATAATTTTACTCCAGAAAGTGTTAATGATACTGCCAAAGAAACCTGTTTAAACTGGTTCTTCAAGATTGCTTCAATCAGAGAGCTCATTCCCAGATTGTATCCTTTTCAAATGAGTTTGACTGTCAAAATGGTACACTATTATGCCTGAAGTTTTGAAAGGAATTAAAGTAATATGAGAACGCAGTGAAGTTTATGTTGAAAATCTAAACAATGATTATCACCTCAGGTTTTAGTCTGAAAATATCTATCTTACGTACTTACATGCCCCCCATCACAACAGTATTTAAATACCTCTCAATCTTTAATGTATTTATCTTCACCAACACCCCGGTGAGGTAGTGAAGTACTGTTATTACCATCTTTTTAACAGATGGGGAACTAACTGAGGCACAGAGAGGCTAGGTGACTTGACCCAGGTCATACAGTCAGATTCTGATGGAGCAGGAAATTGAACATCAGTCTCCCAAGACATAGGCTAGACCACCCTAATAGCTGGACCATTTTTCTCTTCAAAATAGGAAGGCAAATGGAGCTCACAATTGTTTTATTATAATTGTACAATTTTTGTTACTATAGTGTCTGTCCAGGACCCTATTGTGCTGGGCACTATAGAAACAGAACAAGACAGTCCCTGCCCCAGGTTTTGCATTGAGAGTGAATTCCAACTTGGACTAAAGCTTAATTGTGTAGTAGTTGAATCAGAAATCCAAGTGTCTATAGGGTTTTAATGGTAACACAAAAACAACAAGGAGTCTGGTGGCACCTTAAAGACTAACAGATTTATTTGGGCAAAAGCTTTCGTGAGTAAAAAACCTCACTTCTTCAGATGCATAGAGTGAAAGTTACAGATGCAGGCATTATATACTGACACATGGAGAGCAGGGAGTTACTTCGCAAGTGGAGAACCAGTGTTGACAGGGCCAATTCAATCAGGGTGGATGTAGTCCACTCCCAATAATAGATGAGGAGGTGTCAATTCCAGGAGAGGAAAAGCTGCTTCTGTAATGAGCCAGCCACTCCCAGTCCCTATTCAAGCCCAGATTAATGGTGTTAAATTTGCAAATGAATTTTAGTTCTGCTATTTCTCTTTGAAGTCTGTTTCTGAAGTTTTTTTGTTCAATGATAGTGACTTTTAAATCTGTAATAGAATGACCAGGGAGATTGAAGTGTTCACTTACTGGCTTATGTATGTTACCATTCCTGATGTCCGATTTGTGTCCATTTATTCTTTTGCGGAGGGACTGTCCGGTTTGGCCAGTGTACATGGCAGAGGGGCATTGCTGGCACATGGTGGCATATATAACGTTAGTGGATGTGCAGGTGAATGAGCCCTTGGTGTTGTGGCTGATGTGGTTGGGTCCTCTGATGGTGTCGCCAGAGTAGATATGGGGACAGAGTAGGCAACGAGGTTTGCTACAGGGATTGGTTCCTGGGTTGGTGTTTCTGTGGTGTGGTGTGTAGTTGCTGGTGAGTATTTGCTTCAGATTGGGGGGTTGTCTGTAAGCGAGGACTGGCCTGCCTCCCAAGGTCCGTGAGAGTGAGGGATCATTTTCCAGGATAGGTTGTAGATCGTGGATAATGCTCTGGAGAGGTTTTAGCTGGGGGCTGTATGTGATGGCCAGTGGTGTTCTGTTATTGTCCTTGTTGGGCCTGTCCTGTAGTAGGTGATTTCTGGGTACCCATCTTGCTCTGTCAATCTGTTTCCTCACTTCCCCAGGTGACTTCCAAAATTTCTGGTAACCCCATATTGATCTTCTCCTCCCAGCCCTTTCTTCTCCCTTTTTATATTGACCCCTTTAGTTTTGTTTGGATTCTGAGCTTTGAAGTGTTTTCGAATTCTTTGAATCATGTGGTACTGAGTGCCGCGGGGCGGGGGTGTGGCAGCACATGATGATGATGATTGTTTATTAAGTTGAGTTTACATGCTATAAACTGGACATATTTGAAAACTAAATGGGAAAGCTATAAAAGCCACAAAACAAGTAGTGCAGTTAATGATATTAGGTGTTAGAATACCCTTACCATGTGGTGTCCAAGAGAAATTAATTTCATAGCCAGGGAGTTGTCACAGTTCAGGGCAACTGTACTTGTATTTCCCCTCAGTGGTTTAGCAAGGGCACCCACTCTTGGCCTTCAGCTCCCCAGCTGTTTCCTCTCTTGGGTGGAGACTCGTGTGTGTGCATGTCTGTCTCTCTCTCTCTCTTCTGACTGTGATAGTCTCAGATTGCACAGTTCCCCTGCCTTCACTGTGTAATTCCAGCACAGAAAGGTTGCACAAGGGTACCTGCTTGCTCTCTCTTCAGAGATGGATAACAATGTAATTGTTAGAGAAGTTACCATGCAGCTCTTTCTAAGCAAGCCTACTTTATTCTTAAGATATGAAGCATTACAGAGCAATCATATTAAAAACAATAAAAGAATTTACACGCACACTAATAAGCTTACCAGTGTTCATCCCAGCTCTCACATGGACTCTGGCAAGTCCAGTCTTAATACCCCATCCAAGGGTCATCCTTATGGTTACAAGTTCATCAGAGCATCCCGATTCAGAACAAGCCCCCAGTCTTATGAGGCCTCATAGGCCAAGTCTTTCCAATCCTCCCCTAAGGACTGAGGCCCTGCGTGGACCAGAAGTCCTTTTGCTGGAGACAGGTTAACCCCTCCCCAGACTTTTATCCAAAAGTATTTCCTTTGTCTGTTAGTCTCTGGAGATTCCAATCTGAACCGGTATATGCATCTCTTTCCAGGGGCTGACTTCAAAGGGTTGACAATGGAGGAAGTACATTAGCATTCCTCCTCCCTACTAGAAAAGGTACATACACTGCCACATAGGGTTGCCAACTTTCTACTTGCACAAAACCGAACACCCCTGCCCGACCCCTCCTCTGAGCCCCACCCCTTCTCTGAGGCTCCACCCCCACTCCCTCCCTCCCTCCCTCGGTCGCTCACTCTCCGCACCCTCACTCGCTTGCTCATTTTCACAGGGCTGGCTCAGGGGTGTTGGTGTGTGGGAGGGGGTGAGGGCTCTGGTGGGCTAGGCATGTGGGATTTGGGGCGTAGGAGGGGGCTGAGGGGTTTGGAGTGTGGGAGGGAGCTCTGGGTTGGGGCAGGGGGATGGGATGTGTGAGGGCTCTGGATGGGGGTGCAGACTCTGGGGTGGGGCTGGGGATGAGGGGTTGGGGTATAGGAGGGTGCTGTGGGCTGGGACCGAGGGGTTCGGATGATGGCAGGGGTTTGGGGTGCGGGAGGAGGTCAGAGGTGCAGGCTCTGGGCGGTGCTTACCTCAAGCAGCTCCTGGAAGCTGTGGCATGTCCTCCCTCTGGCTCCTACGCGGAGGTGCGGCCTGGTGGCTCTGAGTGCTGCCCCGTCCACAGACGCTGCCCCCACAGCTCCCATTGGCTGTGGTTCCCGGCCAATGGGAGCTGTAGAGCTGGCGCTTGGGGTAGGGGCAGCATACAGAGGTGTAGGTGCTGGAGGGGGGACATGCCGCTGCTTCTGGAAGCCATGTGAAGCCTACCTTAGCTCCATTGCCCTGCTGACTGGACTTTTAACAGCCTGGTCAGCAGTGCTGGCCGGAGCCACCAGGTGTTCTGGTCGAAAACTGGACACCTGGCAACCCTACTGCCACAACAACACATTAATGTACATACAGTGTACCCCAAATGGGGTTAAATTAAACCTTATTGAATTAGGGCTATCTTAATTCCATAAGGTTTGCTCAGTATATTACAGGATATTTTCAGTCTGTCACAGGAGTAGTTTTGTTTTTCTTACAAGGAGTACATCTTGGAATTTTTTTCCTTAACTCGGTTTTGTTGTAGCTATGTGGAAGCAGCAATATTGAAATGCAACAAGTTTCTGTCCAAAACGTAAGGCTAACATGCAGTTAATAAATATGGATAGCCAACGAATGTGTACATGTTAAAGTAGTATGTAGAGAATTAAGTATGCAAGTTCCATTATATAATGGCAGGAATCTTCTGTGCTTTTGGAGGGGGCAATATTGATTGCTTTGGGCTCCTGATACGAATCCCATCAAGGTAGAATATTAGCACAGCTGATGACATACTGATGCATCCACTTTAGAGCACTTGCATAACTGTAGTCTGAATGGAAGGTCAGGCATTTTGGGGAGAGGAGGAGGGGTTTACAAAACTGAAAGGAAAGCAAAATTGATGGGAGGTGGCTGAAGGTAAAGGAGAGGGTAACACAGCGAGAGAAATAGGTAGGTCAGTAACCAGGCTAAAAGCAAGGTGGGGAAAAAAGGCAGAGGCAATGAGCCTGGAAAGCAGCTGGGGAATAGGCTCCAAGCAGAACGGAATCGATATTGTTTTAAAAATAGCCCTTCAAGACTAATGGGCCTTTTCAGTTAATTGCTAAAATGAATACTATAATCTCAATGGCTCTACAATGACAGCCTGATTATTTTTGGGCCTCCCAGTATGGGCCTGATCACACTTTTGCCAGTGCAGGTGTGTGCTGGAGGGGCAGGAGGAGTATTAGCAGCCCACACCACATGCATGCAACAGCTCTGTGGTGAGTCCCCCTTTATAACCATAGCAGGTGAAATTGGGAGTGAAGTGGGGCCAGTGGATCTGTGACTGACTAGGAGATTCCCTGGCCATCATAGATCCACTGCCTCTGAGGCTTTTGGGCTGCTGCATCCCTGAGACTGCATTGCAACCAGAGAGAAGCTCCAGCTTCTCCAGTCTAGAGGAAAGGCTTCTTTCCTTCCATCAGTCCCCCAGCTCTTTGCAACTCTCCAGTCCATAGCCTGGCTGCTCCTAAGGGTAAGTAGCATAATTCATGTCTAATATGTTACTTAAAAGACTAGTGAAATTTTACTTCTAAATTAGACTTCGTGCTAATATGACTTTCCTTGGTTCCTCGAATTTTTGCTGAGATGTAAATTTAATAAGGCAGCCTTTCAAGTTATAGTATGTGTTGTGGTGCTCTGATCAATTCTTAAACTTCAACATTTAATTTTTAAAAAATCTTAACAGGGGAATTTCAGAATGTCTCCCGCGACTAACGGCTATGATTAGAGGAATTGGAGATCCACTGGTTGCAGTCTATGCAAGAGCGTACCTGTGCAGGGTAGGCTACCATTTAACATTATTTAAAGTGAGCTTATATCAATGGTATATTTCTCTCGTACTGCAGCCTCACCTGCCACTAAAGGAAGATTTTAATTAGTGGCAGCTTTTCTCTGACCCAAAAAGCGTTCCTGTTCCTCCTCTTAGAAAATTGCAAGACAGGATAACTTTTCCATTATAATCACAATTTGAAAACCTGCTGCATAATTGCCTATAATAATCATAGTAATTAAAAACTAATTTTCCAAGCTTGTCCTGCCAGTACTCCCTCCTGAGGGAAGAGGAAAATTGGGGACTGAGTCATAAAGAAAACTTGTAGCTTTGTGGTATTACAGACTGTTATATGAGTGCTAAGCATGGCTTTTCAGAGGTACCGTACAAGCTTTCCTTCTACTTGAATTCATTGTCTCCCTGTTCATGCCATGGGAGCATCTGCTTTTGGAGGATGGCTTGATGAGCTTCATCATGAAAAAGTGTTAATTTGATGTCATGTTTTAAAAACTAGGGGGTTGCACACTTTGTATCTTGTGTAGGCCAAGCTTATTACATGCACTACTAGAGGCTCCTTAGTTTCCCCTATAGGCTCCCTGTGTGCCACTCTCCCTTCCTCTTCTATTTCAGGAACTTGCTGCAACTCCCTCCAATCGCCCCCTGTCAGGGCTTCTGTGTGCACCCCAAATCCCCCTCCTCCCATACCATGGTCCCCCATTCCTCCCTCCATGTTAGGTGCTCTGTGTGTCCCTCCTTCCCTCATATAAGGTCCTTCCAATTTTCCAATAAGGGAGTTCTGTGTTTCCCCCATTCCAGGATCCCCATTCTTCCCCCAATGGCAGTGGTTCCTAGACTGGGGTTCGTGAAATGTTACAGGGGGTTCTGGGAAAAAATTCCCTAATGGCAGACAGAGCTGTCCCTAGAATCCCAGGCAGCACAGGGCCAGCAGCCTGGAGCCCCTGGACGTCCAAGAGCTAAGCAGATCAAAGCAAGCATATCTATCACACTGAGGAGATTTTAAACTTCAAGACTCCTTATAAGAAATGGAAAGGGAGGTGGATATTTTTTGCTGTTTTTAAACTTAAATAGGCAGCTAGTATTGTTTTTAAAATTATTATGAAGAACGAGTTTAAGCTTTGTTGTAACATGCGTTGTTTGCCTGGACTGCTCAAGACCTGAATGCTTGTATAGGAGGAATTCTTTGAGTTGGCTTCTTAAATACCTTCATGTTGCTTCACATCTGATGCTCCTTGATGAGATATAGGAGCCTTGTCTTATAACAGGCTTAGTCAAAGTGATACAAGCTACGAAAGTGAGGTCTTGGGAAGAGTGTTGCTGTTTTAATAATGTAATAAAAATACTGTGATGATAAATAATAATAAATAGTGTGTAATAAGCATGTCATAAAAACAAATTTTATATTTCCAAGATCACTGCTTTTATAATTTATACTTGGGTAAAGGAGAAAATCCCTGGAAATATTCATTTTAGGAGGGGATTCGTGAGACTTGACATTTTAGTGAAAGGGGTTCACAGGTTGTTAAAGTTTGGGAACCACTGCCCTATGGTAAGGGCTCTTTGTGCATCCCCATCCCCCCTCTCCTCACAGCAGGGTCCCCCATTCTTCTCCCGATGCCAGAGTCTCTGTCTGCCCTGCCCCCAGTTGCTCCCCAAGGAGTTCTGTGTGTCCCATTCTCCCTCCCCCTATGCCTGGTGTGTGTGCCCCCGGCCCCTCCCCAGAGCAGAGGTGAGATGGGGGTTCCTGTTGTGCTGGAAGGTATTAATGGTTGCCATCATCCACTTGTTTGATCAACAGACAGTTGCATAGGTGCTGAAAGCTGTGGCTGTGCTAGTCAGATGGCAGCAGCTACATATATCCCCTTTTCCCCCCTTTCAGTTTCCCAGTTTTCCCCAAAATCAGTGGGGTTCTGACAACTGATGTCTAGACAGTCCCTGAAATTTTGGAATAAATAATGAAGCTGTAGTGCAGGCACAAATAATATCTGTAAAGCAGCAGCATCGCTGTATAGAGGTATCTCTGCTGTTGAATTGAATCAAAGAACCAGCTCTCTCTATGGAAAGTTAATAGGGCAATGTATTTTTCTAAAGCTTATATGACTCAAATAGAAACAAAATATAAAGGCTAGAGATGCTTGGTCTGGGCGAGTGCTGGGTACCTGCAGCTCCTGACAAAGTCAGTCAGAGTGGCAGGCGCCTCTCATGATCAGGCCTTGGGTGAGCAAAGTGATAGAAGAGGAGTCTTAGAAGCTGGGTTTTTTTGTTTTGTTTTTGTTTTTTAACATAACTGACTTATTGCTTTTTCATGAGTCATTTGTGTTCCAGTTTTTCTTCTCTTACACTTGCACATAACAATTTTTTCTACCTTTTTTCTTTTCTAAAAAAAAATTATAGTAAAGAAATTATGGTAAAAAAATACAACAACCCTGCATTAAAAAATCATTATTTAGGTTGCAAAATCAAGCACTCAAGAATTAGGAAAGGCCAGACTTAAAATTGCCTGTGACCCCTTAATTCACCCCCCTACAATAGTCTTTAATTACCCGGTCCTGTACTATTTTTTTCCACAGGACCCCTACTTCATTCAGTGCAAAGAATGGATGCACCAAAGGGCAGCCTTAAATCTGGCTTTTCCTAACATTATAATGCTAGGTTTTTTAAATTTATTTTTGTAGTGCTCTTACTGGTCATGAACACCATACTAGGACCTGTTCTCAACAACCTCGTTTAAACATAGTAGTAGCTAGCACAGTTCTGGTCTCAGTGGACGGGGCCATAATATCACTTCCTAGTGAGGCAGGGGTAATGATGGGCAAAAAGCACTCTGTTCAGTACTCTGCTGTAGTATCTTCATCTTATTGATATGTGTGTGAATATACTTATTCCCTGGAGAATAACTCTATTTCGTAGCTGGAGGAGGATGGTAAGTGGTACAGATACAATTTTTCTCTTTCTTTGAATCTAGGTTGGGATGGAAGTGGCTCCTCATCTTAAAGAAAGCCTTAACAAGAATTTTTTTGACTTCCTTCTAACATTTAAGCAAGTAAGCAAATATGTTTGTATTGCCTGAGTGATGAAATAAGGACGTTCCTTGAGTAACCTATGATGAAAATGTTTTTTACAAATCCCTTTAAAAGTGCTTGAATCTAGAGTTGTAAATATTTTTGTAACTGTAAATCTGAAAAAAAAATATAATTTCACCATCTAACAGATGTCACCAGCAAAATTGATGTTTACTAGACTGCATTATTTACCTTTACTCTGGTATTTCTTATATTTAGAATGGGAAATACTGCACATATTGTGGTAAATTTATCTACTGTACATGGTGTATGCCCAAATTTTAAATAGTGCCCACTGTATATTTCTTCCGAATTCAGGAAAATATGCAGAATACTTGTAGAGCATATTGTGTAATTCAGTGACCCTGGTCTCTCAAAGCTTTCAGTTAACCTATAACTTGAAGTTTTGTTTACAGTTTCTCATAGCCCCAGCCAGACACGTTTTTCCCCATGATGGCAGCTCTTTCATCTTTTACTTCCTTTACAGATGCATGGAGATACTGTTCAGAATCAGCTGGTAGTGCAGTGTGTGGAGATTCCATTGTATTTGACTCTCTACTCTCCTGCTATAGATTGGATTTTACAGTGTATTGCGTACCGTGCTCCCGAGGTAAAATGACATATTCACCATGTAAATAAATGCTTGATAGTTAACTGGAACAAAGAACATATACAATATCTGATTTTTAAAAGATATTATAGATTCCTATGGTAATTGTTCACTGCTAGGCTACTTAGTACATATTGATGCAGGACCTAGGATGCTATATTCAAACTTGAATTGAAAAATGACCAAAGCTTATGTGAGTGATATTATTAACAGATATAGTGCTGTATATATACACGGGGCTTTATATAGCTAGCTAAGATACATGCAATGCTCTGAAGTGCCTACATTCTAAGTAACCATCAATTCTACATTCTAAGTAACCATAAATAGTTTCCAGTGAGAGTGCTTGAAAAGGCAAAAAGGCCAATGTGAAAGGACTAGTAAGTGTAAAAACAAAACCATAGTGAAGGAGGCATAAGTGGGTTCATAATTATTTTTAGTTGTAGATATTAAGTTTAAAATTATAAGGCAAAGTTGAAGGATAAATGTAATATTACACAACGGACTAAAATAAGTCAACTTCATTATTCCACAAAGCTGATGAAAACTTGGAAGTTTCTTATAAAAACTAAGTTCTAGATTTCCCTTTCATATAGTTTTAATATAAACAGAGGTGCAGAAACAGAACTGTGGGTATAAGTAAATAAAAAGCAGGCAACTTCTTCTCTGTCCGATATGACTCTTGGGATAAAAATATAGTACTAGCGGTAATCAAAATTTGCACCAGAACAAGTGATTGGGAAATTTTATCTCAACCACAATAATAATAATAAACCGTATTTTCTAAGGTTGGTCAACGTACAAGTAATGGGCAAAGTACAAGTAATGCAAATCAAGGGCAGCATAGGGGTAATAAGTGTATGAATGAAAGAAGTGCTAACAAGCCTTAACAATAATCAAGTGAGTAGAGTCAATATAAAGCCATTCTTGTTGTAGTACATGTTTAAAGATTGTGTAGAATCTAAATAGTATAAATGCTTTTAAATAATGAAGATGCTAAAGACATTTTAAAGGTGAAACCTCACCCACACCAAAATGCACATCTGATTGCTTTGTACAGGACTCTGCATAACATGTCTCCTGGGACCAATCTAGAGATCTTTGATTTTGCATCAGAATCCCATGATGCTGTTCTTCGCACTGCTTATCAACTTAGCAATGCAAATTGCACCTTTTTTTATTTATAAACATGATCAACATAATGTTATAATCAGTCTAAAAATAGTCTGAAACAGAAATTAATTTCGAAGGAGACATTACAACACTTCATCATTTGAGAGGAAAGTTGAAAGAAGTCCAGTCATGGGGAGAACTTAAATTTGCTGTGATTGCCTCCTTGTTTAAAGGCTTGTTTCAAAATTATCTTCTTAGAAATCCGCTTTTTCTCATATTTAGAGACGAATAGACTAAACCTCAATAGATCTAAGCACAGTGGTGAGCTGGAGCCGGTTTGCGGGAACCGGTTGTTAAATTTAGAAGCCCTTTTAGAACCGGTTGTTCTGCATGGGACAACTGGTTCTAAAAGGGCTTTTAAATTTAACAACCAGTAAAGCTCCGGCAGCTCCCCGCCCCGCCCCCGGCCCCAGCTCACCTCTGCTCCGCCTCCGCCCCTGAACGCTCCGCCCCGCTTCTCCTCCCCACCCCTGCTTCCCACGAATCAGCTGTTCGCGCGGGAAGCCTGGGAGGGCTGAGAAGCAAGTGGCGGCTTCGCGCTGAGGCTCAGGGAGACGGAGCGGAGGTGAGCTGGGGCGGGGGGTGCGAGGAGGGCCACGCGCCGCGGCAGGTAACCCCCTACTCCCCCCCTAGCTAAGCTACCCAGCCCCTAGGAGCCAGAGGGACCTGCCGGATGCTTCCCGGGAGCCACCCCAGGTAAGCACTGCTGGGACTCCCCACCTTGCCCCCCGGCAGGTCCCTCTGTCTCTTAGGGGCGGGGCGGGGTGGGCACCCACTACTGTGGCCCACGAGACCCTCCTGCCCGGCCCCTGAGCTCCCGGCCGGGGAGGCTAGTCCCTGGCTGTTCCCCCTCCCCGGCAGCTTCAGCTTGCCCCGCCGCCGGCGCATGCTCTGGGCGGCGGGCTACGAGCTCAGCCTGACCCAGCCTGGCTCCAGCCGCGCCGCGCGGCTGTAGTGCCGCCAGCCATCAGGAATGAGAGGAGGGGTTGGATGGGGTGGCGGGGGGCAGTCAGGGGACAGGGAAGGGGGGTAGATGGGGCAGGAGTCCCGGGGGGGGGCGTCAAGGAACACGGGGGGTTGGATGTGGCAGGAGTCCCGGGGGGCGGGCCACGACCCCCTCGTGGGGTGAGGAGGGAACCGGTTGTTAAGTTTTTGGCAGCTCATCACTGTCTAAGCATACATTTTTAAACTCTTGTATACATGAAAAATATATGTATATTGGAAATAATAATAAGCAATTATATTAAAGCACAATTGAGAACATTTAAATTTATAGTCAATACTGCGTTTTCTTACTGTCCTGTTGGCTGGTATCATCTTGCTTTCTTGATCTTCTGAGTCTATTTAGTTTCTTCTGTCATGCTGATATAAGCTAGTGAGGAAAAATTTGGTAAGCTGTGGGCTTTGTAATTGCTTAACATGGCCAACAAGCTACTTAAAACTTCAATCAGTGTGTCTGCATTCTGCAGTAAAGAGCTAGTGGTATTCCCCTCTCTTGCCAGAGGTAATTGACCTTGTCATTTTTCAGAGAGAGAACCTTTTCCAGACATGACTAAAGACCTGGAAACTTGACTTTTATAAAATAAAGTAGCAAGTCAGATTAAAATGTCACTGTATTCGTGCAATATATTTGTTTTATGTTGCACCACCAAAAATATTTTCTTTTGACTAAATGTAGTGTTAAATAAGATTATTGGAATATAGTTGCTAGGTAATGAAATTCACCTCTAGTTAATGTACAGTTTACCAAAAGCTGTGAGGATGTTTTATTTGTGTGGTCCACACTTTTTAATTTGAATGAAATCACCGTTATAGATTTTGCTTACCGAGATGATGGAGAGATGCAAGAAACTGGGGAACAAGTAAGTATTGCATGGTCAACAGACCAGAAGTCAGAAATCTAAATCTTGTGTTACACTCTTATAATCCAGTTCTTTGTATAATGTTTCTCATTTTATTTTTTGCAGGAGTACTTTATTAAACTATTAAAACTGAGATGTAGTATCTGTGCTCCCTGAATTTTTTTTTTCACCCAGAATTCCAATGGGTTTGGCTGTGGCAAAAAAGTTAGTTGACCCAATTGTCAGATGAGCCAGAGTTCAGCTAGGATTAAACCCCATGATACTTTGTGCTCCCAGTCATTTCCTTTGGGAACTACACATGCGACATTTTCTTCTGTTCCTCTTTTTACTTTTGCCAATTGACCAGTATGTGTATACTGTGAGAGGGAGGTTGCAGAGCAGGTGACTGAACAGTGCCATTTTAAGGCTAAGAATAGTCTTCCAAGCCTGTCTCAGGAAGGATGTGCATTCATTTCTAGTTAACTTAGTCCCTGTCTGAACTAGAAAAATGAGCAGAAAATGGATTTCAAATACAATTCATCCCATCTCCATACATTAATCTGAACTGGAATGTGGTTTGCACAGGCTTACCTCTATTTAGTGACTGATTAAGAAAGGTTACTTGCTAGTCTTGAATCCTCTTTCTGAATTGTGTGAGCATGGTTTGGCCCAAGTTATACTGGGTGGTTTCAGTTTGGTTTATTAGGGGGGCAGGGCGAAGATATGCGAAAATTGTTTGCAAACATGATCAATTTTTCTACTGCACGCTGAGCTAGTGTAATCTGCTTTGAGCAGGGCCGCCGGGGGGGGGCGAGGGAGGGGCAGTGGGGCAATTTGCCCCAGGCCCTGGGCCCCACAGGGGCCCCCACGAGAATATAGTATTCTATAGTATTGCAACTTTTTTTTATGGAAGGGGCCCCCAAAATTGCTTTGCCCCAGGCCCCCTGAATCCTCTGGGTGGCCCTGGCTTTGAGTGAAGAGGTGGAAATGCATTACCCTTTTAACTAAAAGAAAGATATTGTAACACCAAACATGTGACTAAGTTAAGGAGTGGAGAAGTTTGACTCAAAATCAGGGGTAAGGACACTCTTACATCGCTTTAATAGGGGCAAAAATCATGCTTTTAAGACTCCACTGTATTAAGTTCTGTCTAAAGATTTTTGGTCCATTCTACAGCATTTGTCTTTAAATTAAATAGTTTCTAGTATTTTGGGTTGTGAAGACAGATTTTCTGCTTAGTCTGTGCACAGCTCTCTTGTTTGCTTTGCAGCAAGGCAAATTTCACAATGTAGCACCAAGAGAGCTGAGAAATTTCCTATGTGTTTTAATGGAGTGTTAATTTCAGTCTTTTTTTGACCTCTTAAATGCTTACACAATGTAGCTAATTGGAAATTGAATAACCCAGCTCTGACCATTGTTTTGTAGGTTAACAACATGATAGGCAAATTTCTGCCCTCTTACGTGCACCTCATTGAATGATATTTTAGATTTTATGTAGTGATTTTCATTGCTAAATTATGAATCCATGGGCTCTTCACAAACTAGATACATGCAGTATCACTAAAATTCAGCCATCTCTGGGTAAAAGGTAGCAGCAAACTTGTGCAACATGCTGTGGACAACAGCTGGTGGCATGAAAATGTATGGACAAGGCCAAGGGCAAATTCCTACTAAGTGCTATGTGATCACTGTAATCCTATTCACTTTTGTTCTGCAAAAGACCCACACACAGTAAATTGCACAGTATTCACTTTATTGACTTCAAAGGAATGAAGGACGGAGTATCAACTCTGCTGGGGTTACAAGTCAACATGGAAGGTGTGCAATTTAGCCCTGAATGTTTCTTTTTCATTGCTGTTTCAAAGTGAGTTACTTTTTCTGAAGTGCAGTACACTGGATTGCCTCTTCAACAGCTAATTTACAATATAAATTTTAGGTTTCAATTATTACATCTGTAGACAATAATAATCACCTTTACTATAATCGTATGGATTTATTTCTGTTCTACCAGCTCATTTAGTAGAAATCAGCCTTGCAACAACAGCTTAGTTAATGCAACAAAGCTTCAATAGAGGTTGTCGCCATACCAAAAGATACTTTCAATTGTAGGGACTTCAGACAGAAGAAGAAAATAGAATAGTTCAGCAAATGTACAAAGACTATCCCAATATTACTGTTTCTTTTTACTGAATAGCCAATGGTCTCCAGCTTGGTGAGTGATGTGCCAGTATTATAAGGAAATCTGCTCTCAGCTAGTGATAGTTTGGAAGAAAGTTGATCCTTATGTAAGAAATCTAATGTAAAATTTATTTTAAAGACAATTAAATGATGTTTTCCTTGGAGTTAAGCAAAGAAAGTACAGGCTGAGGTTTTCTACATATCCTGCAGTTAAGTGCGGCATTGCCAAACTTAATATTTTCTTGTTTTGCCAACCCTTGATCAACCCATCACCCAAAAAAGTAGAAATGGAGTGGTATTTAATCATTCTTTGACGTTCAGATTAATGTAAATTAGACAATGAAAAGTGACTTAATTTATGGTGATCTGCGCTGATTTGTGTCCTGTTCCTTTTAGTGCCTTGCTGTTGAATTCAGTGATGTCAGCATTCAGAGCGGAGTTTATTGCTGCAAGGTCTATGGATTTTATTGGCATGATTAAAGAGTGCGATGAATCTGGATTCCCCAAGGTAAGTTTTTTTGCAATTTAAAGCACTCCTTATTCATTATCTTGCTGAGTGCTTTATACTTTTAGCTAGCTGTCTAGATAGTTCACACAGGATTAAAAAATGGGAACTTTATGCTGTGTAGAATAAGGTGATTTAAGATCTAGAACATAAAGTGATTTCTATTCCTGTTTCATTCCTGGGTCCTGAATCCTTTACGAGTGGGAGGGGTCCAATGCGAATAGAGACAAGAACTCTCTCTTCTGCAGCAGCAGTGAATGGATCAGAAAGAGGCCTGTTGCAGTTTATTTGTAATAAGGAAGGGGCCCTTATTAGCCAGTCAATCCCAGTGCTGGAAAGAAGTGCTGGGAATTAACTAATTTAATTGTGGCTTCATTCACACAGCATGTGACTCTACTCCCCACACTTACTTGTCCTGTTTTAAGGGGCTTAATCCTGCCCCATTGAAGCCAATGGGAGTTTTGCTGTTGACTTCAATGGGAGCAGAATCTGACTTCTGGGTGTGCTAGTTTAGAGCCTTTCTTCAGGAATCTGCCAAATAAGTGTGCATGTTAAACAGCTGTATTTCATTTCAATGTATACGCTCTGATGAGTTGCTAATTAAATGTAACCGCTTATAGTTCTCCAACAAAAGTGCATTACAGTTCAGTCTTTGAGCCAGAAAGTATATGATCTTTGAGTGACTTACCCAACTAGATAATTTTGTAACCAGTAGTATTTTGAAGTATGATCTGTTTCATAGAGAATCTTTAATTGATAGGATGATCTGATCTTTCCTCAGCATCTTCTCTTTCGCTCTTTGGGATTAAACTTGGCCATGGCTGATCCTCCTGAATGTGATCGCCTTCAGATATTAAATGAAGCCTGGAAGGTTATCACAAAATTGAAGAACCCACAGGTGGGTCATTGATAGGAGATGAGTTCTGGGGTAAGTTGGAACTGACTTGCCAATTTCAGACACAGTTTTGTAGCCAGTTCAAAATGATTAAAAATAAATAAATCACAAATTACATATGAGCTTTTAATACACACTGAGCATAGCATTGTCTAGTTCATCATTCCTAGACACTCAATAATTGCCTTGTCAATAAGCATACCGGTCATATGTTTCATACATACTTAGTTGTACTCAGTTTGGGTACAGCAGGGCCCCATTCTGAAATTTGTAACCATGAAGGTAGGTCCTTGTGCCTGCTTGGATCCAAGTGCCAGACAAGTGCCTAAGTAATTACTTAAGCAGACTGTGGGAAGAGAAATATATACTCTGAAACTTGATACAGATTTTGAAAGTTATGCATTCTTTTGACCATAACATATATATCTATTTCTAGGATTATATTAACTGTGCAGAAGTGTGGGTGGAGTATACCTGCAGACACTTTACGGTATGTAGGAATTTCTATAAGGATTTTTTTTTCTAATTTTAACTATATGGAGACAGTAAGTAGCTGTATAGCAGTTTACAATGTGAAAAACAATAAACCAGATTATCTCCTAATGTGAGAGTTGAATAGATACAAATTAGAGGCTTAAAAGGAGTCCTTTTGATCATTCATAAATATATTTCTAACCTGTATTTGGAACATAATTGGGGAAATAGGAAGTGTTACAGTAAGTGTCTGTTTGTAATCAGATAATTCTTATTTAAGGTTCAACTACAACCATGTAGAAAATTCATTTTTTTGTAAATGGCAATAAATTCTCAACCTTAACTTAGTACTAACAAAGTATTTTAGTAATTTGATTTCTGCACCATTTTTAATGCTGAGTTGTGACATTTAATTTTCACTACATAGAAGCGTGAGGTCAATACTGTTTTGGCAGATGTTATCAAACACATGACTCCAGATCGTGCATTCGAAGATGCCTATCCACAGGTAAGAGACTGTTTTGATTTACCAACTCTATAAATAACTAATTTTGTTCCAAGAAAATGCACAGAGGGTTCTAAAGTCTCTTACTTTACAGTGTATTTTAAAAGGCCTTTTGTAACTCAGGAAGCTCTTTAGAATAAAGCGAAGCTGTGGTATAGTGTTCCAGATTTATGGAGGTCAATTTTTAAATCTAGAATAATTTACAACAAAAGAATTTGTGTATGTGTATATATAGCTATATATATAGAGAGAGAGAGAGAGAGCTAGCTGTGTGTGTATATATGTGTATGTTTTTAGAATTGTTTTCTACGTGTTAACTGGAGAAAAATAACCTATACATTGGATGATTTACAGATAGATCTGCACCGGTGTCATCATTATGTACATTAACATGCAATTTGTAATGTATTTAGTTGTTTTTCTTCTTTTCCTAGCTTCACTCAATTATTCAGAAAATTATCACCTATTTCCATGACTTTTCTGTACTTTTTTCAGCGGTAAGTCATACCTTTGCATTGTTTTCTAGAACTTGAGTGTAGATTGTTTTCATAAGGAAAGCTAACCTAATTTTCTTATCTGTCATCTGAAAGCTCACATGGTGAGAAGCACTTTTTGTCAAGTATAAAATTGTTAAAACACCATGGGAAGTCTTCTCTTGTTACTTTCTTAAAAAATCCATTATTTGCATTCCAGCCTATCACACTGTTTTCTTCCTAGGTTATAGAATTCTCTAATACTATTTAATTCTCTAATATCTTTGTTTTAATGCAGCAGTAACAACCAGCCAGCCAGCAAAGGGAGGTCAGATTAACTAATACAGCTTATTTGTGTTCTGTGCTGATAACTACATAATGAGTATTTCAGTATAATGCATACATATAATGTGTCATAGCAAAGAATTCAGAGTCAGCTGTTCTGGTACTGACTGAGGTACAAACGAAAGAATAGGGAGGCCAATGGGTAGGTTTGCGTTGCAAAGTCTGCTTAAACTACTGAAGCTTGATTAAGGGCAAACTTTTCAAATATACGTAGATGATTTAAGAGCCAAATTTCCATTTTCAGCGACTTAGGCACCTAACGCTCACTGAAAGTCAATGGGTATCAGGCTCCTAAGTCACTTGGGCACTTTGAAAATTTTACCATCCATATATTTTGGGGATGGTACAGAAACTAATTCTCTGGATTCTCAAATTCAGCATCTTTAAATGACATCCGAACATTCTAAAGCTTCAAAAGTAGCCCTGGAAAAATCCAAAATGGTGGCAGGAATTTGACAGATTTTTTGGGACCGTAATACCCTATGACTTGTTCCTGGAGTCCTCAGACTTTCCAGTGATCATCACTTCTGTATCTGTGCTGCTTCAAGCATATTATTGCTTTTATTACACATTTTCCATATTTTTTTGAGACACGTGGCTAAATGAGCTCTGACCTGTTCCATGTTTATACTGGATACGCTGAGCCAATAAGCTAGCTGTTTTGTCAGACAATAGGATTTCTCCATTCATACCACCCTGCTATAATCTCACATAGGGTGACCAGACAGCAAGTGTGAAAAATCAGGACAGGGGATGGGGGGTAATAGGAGCCTATATAAGAAAAAGCCCCCAAAATAGGGACTGTACCTATAAAATCGGGACATCTGGTCACACTAATCTCACAGTACCTAATCTCTGATCCTCCAGGAAGAATAACTTTCTTCAAAAGAAGTAAAAACTGGTCTATTACACTCATACACGCATAGCTGAGATTATTTTAAATATTTCTAAAATATTTATACTTATTGGTTCTTTAGGCAGATTTTCATCTTCAGCACAGAGATCAAAAGCTTTTGTGTGTAAAATACCTTAATATACCTGTTGTTTTTTTAATTTGTATTTTTAGGAGAAATTCTTACCATTCCTGGATATGTTCCAGAAAGAAAGTGTGAGAGTGGAGGTTTGCAAGTGCATTATGGAAGCTTTTATTAAGTAAGTAGAAAATATTCTGATTAAGGGCATGCTAGAGGATCTGGGCAATCTATTGAAAAGTTGTTAGGGGAGATAGAATGAATCTGTTTGTAGTCCATTCGGCATGTATAAGGTATTCCAGGCTCCAAGAAGAAAATATAAACATATAATTTTGTATTAGTCTTCTTTATTCATCAGTTGCTTATTAATTGTTTTTCAGTGAAAATCAGAGTATCTGAATAGTCTTGTCAACTCTGTGTCTGATAGAAATAACAGATAGCGTTGTAGCCATGTTGGTCTTAGGATATTAGAGAGACAAGAGCTGAAGAAGAGCTTTGTGTAAGAGCTCGTCTCTCTCATAAACAGAAGTTGGTCCAATAAAGATATTACCTCACCCACCTTATCTCAGAAATATAACTTGACTTTCCTCATAATAAACAGTTATATTTATTGTTGCTGATTCCAGATTAATTGTTGTTTGTGCTTGCTTCAATTTCCATTACTTGACTTGGTTTACATGATAAAATGCTGTATATTCCTAGCCTTGGCTGACATCAGCAATGATCTTGGCATATGAATAAGGAAAGGAACAAATAGACATGTTTGTTGCAGTAAAATGAACGTTTCCTGAGTGGAAAACGATATCAGAAGATGAGATTTCATGTTCAAACTTTTCAGAGTCCAGAATAGTTATTTTCATTAAAACAAAAGATTTTTTTGAAACATTACTTTCTTTTATCTTTTTCTTTTAAATGCTCAAATTGGAGAGCAGTAGTACATAACTTAAAAGTGATATCTGAGTTTCAATTAGATTTCTTCCAATCAGAAATATTAAGTGCTGATATTTCAGGCATGAAAAAATATATAGTGAAAGGCTGGCTAGAGCAACTTCCACTGGTCTGTTACAAAGAGCAGACTGTTATGATTTCTTGATTGCATAGTTGAGAAACATTGATAGCCATTCAGATTCTGCCTAATGTGTATGTACTGCATTATGTCAATTGTATATTCCAAGGGGACTGTATATAACAGATTGTGCAGTTGATGGTGCCAGGTTTGGAGTCTTTTGTTACTAGTTCTAAATTTTTCAAAAATGTAGTCCGTTGTAGTTGGCAGAAGCCTGCAAATGGTTTTTGACCATGATGAAAATGCACCTTGGATACATTTAAAAACCAAACCAAAACCCAGAAAACTTTATTTGAAGTCCATTAGAAATATTGTTGTAAATACAGAAGGCCAAATTACCTGTCACTGACCCCTTCCATCAACTTCTAAGTGTCCCTGTGCTGCCCTGGTAACCACTTGAAGCGAATGGAACACTTATTAATGAAGTTTCCAGGCTTATCTCCACTTAAAACAGAGCTGGGGGGGGGGGATGATAGATATTTCCTATTCTATTCCACTTACAGTGAGATGGACCTACTCCTGATATATGTAGAGCTCTCTTTTGGGTAATGCCCTTTTGTTAGGCAATATCTTAAGGGGAGAGCTTTTAATACTACGTAGACAAAGAACACTTAACTATACGTTCATTTACTATATACTATTTATCACTAGGCATTTGTACAGCAGAAAAAAACATATTCAGTACAAATAGAATGAACAATTAATTGCCCTAATAATATTTACTAGTAGACTATAAGATCTGGAATGCAGGGCTCTTCAGCTGAATCACTCTAAACCAAGGTGCTTAATCTCTGTATTCATATCTAGAGTAATTACTGCTAATCAGATTGGAAGGTGGTTCTAGATGGCTCCTCCCATCATGTAGAGGGAGTGGGTGTGTCTTTTTGGGCAATTAGGAAATGAGGTAGAGGGGGCCCTGGAGAGGCAGCTGAGGCTGAAGTTTATGCTTCAGCGTTTTTGAGTTGTCAATGAAGCCATACCTCAGGAAGGAGATGCAATTAAATGCCAGCATTACAGTGGTTTGCTGTGTTGAGGATACAGTGGGGCTTGGTCTGTTCACAGGGGCTATTCTGAATGTTCTGTTACAGTAAAAGATACAGTGGTTATAAATGAATACAGTATAGAGCATTCATTGCTCATCAGGGTTAGATGTCTCTGCCCTTTATCTCTTTCAGGCTGCCTTGTTTTATTGCATACTGAGTGTTACACTTCTTTGTTCTTGGCAGTTGATTGACTGTGCTAGTTTTGAGGCACTTTTGTTCTCCTTCTTTGGAGCTCAGAGTACAGGAGAGCAAATGGTTTCTTTCAAAATATCTGTTGAAAATGGCATTGGAGATACTATCCAGGAAATAGAGTGGCATTTCTCATTCCTCTGGTAACTCAGGAATTCTGGTTTTTGGCTTCAGTATTTATCTGTGGCATGATTAATACCTCAAGGTGAAGCAACTTCACGATATATACTTGGTCGTCTAAATAGTCCTTGCATGCCTAGACGGAGCACATCACCCATTCTGTGCTATCTGACATTAACCAAGAAACTAGATTCCTATCTGAGATTTCTTTACTGGTTTTGCTTTCAAGTTCTTAGCTGGACATTTCTGGGCAATCTTCTACACTCTCACCATCCATAAGACTTAAGCTGTCTGTGACTTTGTAATAATACCGCCAGATAGTTATGAAATAAGTCCCACTGTCCTGTTTATTTTTTAACTGTGTATTAACTGCGAAGGTATAAATATACTTTAAGTATTTTTGTAAAAAGAAAGATACCTTGGGATGTTGCACAATGCAAGGTGTTCTTTGTAGGTTATTTCACAGACAAAGATCACATTTTCACCATTGCGATTCTCTGCTCATAAGAGTATTTAAAGGCTGCCTATGCAAAATTAGCATTAAATGAATTTTAAGTTTTCCACTGTTGTGTCTTGGAGAAACTGCAGTATTTTTATCAGTATTTTCCAAAAATGTTTTTTAGACATCAACAAGACGCTACTAAAGACCCTGTCATACTCAATGCTCTTCTACACGTGTGCAAGACCATGCATGATTCTGTGAAGTAAGATGAAATTTACATGTATTATAATACAGAATATGTGTAAATGGTGGATGTTCTGATGTATAGTTTTACTTTTAGGGGGGTTAATATTTCAGGGTGAATTTATGCATGGCCCTCTCTTTTGCATTAATGGGAGCTGTGCAGTGAAATCACAACACAAATTATTTACTCTTTAATCATTGCTTTGTTAGAGTCTTTGTTTCAGCATTCAAAGTGGAAAATGGCAATAACTTAATAGATTTTTTTTCTAGTGTGGAGGGAGGCAGCAAGGATACTTTTTGAGACTAAAAAACATAAACAAAGTAGCAGATGCTGTTAAGAGAAATGATGCCAGTTTGGGCCCTTTTCAGTTTTTGTGAGGATAAAAAGCAGCTAGAATCTTCCAGGAAGTACAGTGAACAATAGAGTATTTAGAGGCTTTCAATACATACTTCGCTATTAAAAACTCAGCTCCCAAAATTGAGTTGCACTCCAGCCACTTTCAGTTATTTGACCTGCACAAAGCAGCCCTAATCTGGCAGAAATAACAAGATCTCTCTCAAGTAGGGGGATTGCTGGGTGGTAGAGAAAGTCCTATCAAACTCCCACCCTGTGGCTGTGCAGGAAATGAGGATCCCTGGCTGTCATAATGGCTCTCAGGGGCTGTTGGCAGTTGGAACAGTTAAGAACAGCCTTCCTTTTTCCATGCAACCCCCCTGAACCTTAACTGGGAGCCTTGGAAAACCCCTAATTAGCAATTCTTTTAGTTTAGGCAAAGTTAATTTACATCATTCCTTTGATTCTGTTCTGTCAGCTCTTACAATGACCATTTTACATAGCATTCTAATAAGTTAAAACTACTGCCACTTTTCACAAACTTTGGTACAGCAAAGCTTCAACCCACGGTCTAGATCTTAGCACAACATAGGCCACTTGAACAGCTGTTGAGTGGTAACAACTTTTAGGCCCTGGTACCAAGCTGGGTCAGATTTGAACTGGCAACCTATATAATTGACCTGTAGATCTCATTAAAAATCTCCTGAGCCGTCCAGATCACCCTAGTTCTTTCTTTTGACGGAGGTTTTCCTTCCTTCTTTACTGGATAAAACTATTGTCCTGTTTCCATCTGGTGTCAGCTCTAGGAAAATGGTAAAATGATACACAGGAGGTCAAATCTGGAGATGAGTACGTAACGGTAAAAGGACTAAATAGGATTTGTTAATTGTAATTTAAATTTCTGTATATCCATTTTCATCCAAACAGATCTAGCTTATTGGATTTCTATGTGATGTAAATTTATCTCATATTGGATTTGGGTTATGCTTTCAGAAAGATCAGATATATTTGTGGTAATTTTGGAAGTAAATGTATCATTTTAGTACTATTTGTGACAGCAAAACTTCTAGAGAACACTATAATGAGACAGTGGTAATAGTAACAGAATTAAAAGTTCACAGTTGAGTAATCATAGCTTAAAACAAAAACCTTCTTATAAATATCACCTTAGAGAATTAAAACTGAAAGAATGTTAAATATCACATTTAAGGGTTTTTTTTAAATTGTTTGTATTTCTCTCAAGTAGGAACATGAATTTAGATTAGCTAATCTAATTTGTTTATAATTAGTTTATAGTCAATTTCTCATCCATGTTTTCATGCTGTAGTTCAATGCTGCACCGCTGAATTGCTGTTTGAGAATATTAGTCTGGATAAAAGCTATATCTTTTTTCACTGGGATTCAAAGTATTTCATAGAAACATTTCTGTTGGTCTCTAAATTTTATAAAATCTTATTTTACAGAATTTACATATTAGGCAAAACTTGTCCTGGTAATATCCCTTTAAGAGTATTATTAAAAATAGCTGACAATCATAAATACAGTGTGATTTTAAGTTAGTTTAAAAATTAAGGGTATAAAAATGAGTATAAGATTAATGTGTCCTTAAAATGAGTGAATTAGATACTATGAGCATAAAAGAAATTTTAAGAATTTGTAAAATACGTATATAGTTGAAACTTATTTGTTTTTTGAAGATGGCTTATCTTATGTTGACTATATGTAAACTTACTGTTGTAGTGCACTAACACTTGAAGATGAAAAGAGAATGTTAGCATCTTTGATAAATGGATTTATAAAAATGGTGAGTATTTAGTATTCATGATTGCCTGGGAAAACTTTTTGTGAGAGAGATACGGTGTGGGAAATAGGCACTCCAATACCACTGAAATTCAATGGGACTTGAGCATCCAACTTGCTCAGGATATGTTAAAAATCCCACCCAGTATATTTAGCGAAGGAAATATGCAGATGTTTTGAAGAAATGTCATACAACTTGGTATCACAGGCCTAGTTTAAAGTGTAGGTATCACTGCATGCATCAAAATCTTCTGTTAAATGTTTTTAAATATCTTGTAAAACCTATACGTGTTTTTAAAGTTGAATATTAATGAATGTCTTGCCTGTCGTGACAGTCTGAAAGGTCACAGGTCACTAGCAAGTGAACAGTAACATTAGCAGATGTAATTCCACCGCCCACACCTGAGGGAGGGATCAACACAAAATTAAAAACAAAAAACATTTTTTTAAAAATCAGTTTTTTGAGCCCTCCAGCATTCCAAAATTGAGACGGACTTAAAAAATAACTTAAAAAACAAAAACAAATGCCCACTCTTCAAAAAACAGTTTGTATTGGGTGCATAATAAACTAGTGTCAATAAAAAGGTTTATTCATTAATTTGTTTGTAGAGTGATTATGTGGGTTTTCTGTTAAGCTGCTTTTATTTATTTATTTATTTTATTTTTTAAATTCAAACCTCACCAAACCCCCACTTCCTATAAACCTCACGTTAGGAATTCTGTTAGCTATCAGATCCCTTTCCAGAAGTCTGGAAGCTGATAAGTATGCTTGAGAAATATTCAGGCTGTAAATCAGAGACCATATATTGTTCTAATAATAATAAAAACAAAACAAGAAAAACTTGCAGATTTCCCTAGAAGCTAAATTATGAAAGGTGAACAGTTGAAGGAGAATCTCTTCTATCGCTAATATAGCTGTGAGCAAGTTACTTTGAAATTATTCAACTTAACCTCAGTTGAGGATCTTCATTCCAACCCTTTTGGAACAAACAAAAGAGAGAAAGAGACAGAGCACCTTAATTCAACACACATTATAGAAAGATCAAATAGCTGTGTGCTGCAGACATGTCATAAGTGTGGCTTTTTGTATCTTCCCAATCCCAGGTATCATTTGGCCGGGACTTTGAGCAGCAGCTGAGTTTTTATGTTGAAGCTAGGTCAATGTTTTGCAATCTGGAGCCTGTTCTTGTCCAGCTGGTTCATGTAAGCAAAAAATTTAACTGCAGATGTTGTTTCAATCAGTGGGTTCCCCTCTCCCCCCTTGCTCCCCCCCGATTCCCATTCCTTATATTTACTGTGTTAAGGTTTATTTCGCTGGGTATTCAGGAGTAGACTTTGTTTTTGTCTTTCTTTTCTCACTAAATTTTTCTTCAGTTGTGTGCTTTCCCCCCATACTTAGTACCATTTAATGATGCAAATTAGCTGTTTCATTAGATTCATTGGTTTATGGAACAAACAATACTACAAGGTCCTCCTATATATTCAGAAATTGGAGGCTGATAGTCACAGGAGGAATGATGTGCATGCTCTCAAGGAGAGGTTCTGTCTCTGGAACAAACTTCCAGATGAAATTAGACAAATTCCAGAGTCAGGCCACCTTTGTCAAACTCTGCAAAATTTTCCTATTTAATCAGGTTTTTGCAACAGAAGCAGAAGGACATGCATAACATCACCCCCTCCCCCCCCGCAACCCCCGTCAAAAGTAGACCTTTCTATAGCTGTATAAAGGGTAAGAGCCAGAGACTTCATAAATTCCACTGGGACTTGCCTGTTTGCATATGAAAGGTGTTGAAATACCACAGTGATTGGTGGCAGTATAAAATTCTTCCATAGATACCTTCTGCACATTTCTTCTGAAAAATGTAGTGGTGTTCTAACTGGATTATGAATTGGGTATTAGTAGAAATGGGATATCTTTCATATTTAAGTTTATTTTCTTTTGTGTTAATTTTTAAATGATTATTATACACAAGATGAAAACAGTATTTCACAAAAATAAATAATTTAAAAGTCAAAGACTTTGGTGGAGTTATGGAATCCAGGAGCACAAATAAGAACCCACCCTATAAGGTATATGAAAAGAGTCTACGTTTCAGGCTTATGTATTTGTTCTAACTTCCTATGTTTAGAAATCAGTTTGACAGAATGATATCGAGATATGCTGAGTTCATATGACTAGATCAGTGTAGGGAAGTTTTTTTGTAATTAGAAATTTTCCCATTCTTGCTTAGTTCAAGCAAACAAGAAAAAATAGGAATGGAAAAGGTTGAAATGCCAGGTCAGCAGTTCACTGTATAATTTACAAGTGCTGGTTAGCCTTTGCATGCATCCCCCATAACAAACTGTGGAAACATAATTTCAAATTTTTAAATTTAAAACTGTTGGGTAACTGAAAAATAATAGCAACATAATAATCAGGATGACTATTTTGGTGTTTAGTGGTAATAGGACAGGGAGAATTAATCCATTGCTACTAATTAGATTGGTTTATAAAGTGGGAGTTACAAACAGATACTGATTGACTCACTTACTGAATCTTCCTAATTTACAGTTCGCTATCTCCTATAGCAGCCTTGGGTGGAAATTCAACCAATTGTCTTTTTTTATTTTTGTTCTTGTTTTTATGTAACAAATAATTTTACAAAAGCACTAATACACTCAAAGTGCAGGTATGATAAATACTTCACTACTTGGAGGTTAGACCTAGGCTAAATACTGCACCTAAGGCATATCAGTATCTTGTGTAACAGCACACATTGTCCAGCCACATCGGAAGAAAGACAGGAGGCAATGGATGTGGTTTAGTTAGGCCACAATAAAAACAAAATCACTTAAAATATCTGGGAGTACATGGCAATAAATTGTATATTGCGGATCATCATAGTTTCCTAATCATTTCCATATAATCCCCAACGTGGTCCTGGCCATCCAGTTGCTGGGACCCTATCCCCTCTCCTCTTGTAGGAGGGAAAAGGGGGCTAGAAAAGGAGGAAGGGGTCAGCTGCTCACTGTTCCAGATGGAGGAGCCCCAAACCTCCCCTTCCTCAGCTTTCTCAAGATGTTTTCTCTCTAATCCTTTTCCATACCTGTCCATAACAAGCATCTGCACTGGACATCTGCCATGAGTTTTACCTACTAAGTTGTGGCATTATAACCGAACACCGCTCCTCAACCCTACAGGGTCCCAGACTTGCGTTGGGAAAGATGGAAAAACCCACCCCATCTCGCCGAGTCTTGCAGTGAGGGAAAAATTCTTTCCCAGCCCCCAGGAAAAAGGGGCAACAGCAGATCATGAAGGAAGCTGGTTCTTTCTCAGATTTCATGGGTGGGAGGGTGGTGCTGCCAGCCCGATCCAGGTAAAAGAGGGCTTCTCCTGGATTGCATGGGGTCTAAATACCCCCCTTCTCTCCCTCCCCTCTTCCAGTCAGCAGGAAGGGCAGTACCCCCTCTAGACCTGACCTAGCCGCTTCCTGCTCTTCTGTGTTCTGTCTGTCCATGTAAACTTCCCCTTCTGCCCCATTTGCAGAGGGGAGCCCGTAAAGGGACCACAACTCCTTTCTTTCTGGCCAGCCAGACAAGGACTCTCCAAATATAGTTGTGGTGAACACGTTATCCCCTTGGCTACTTCTGTTTCCCATATGTTTAACTTGACAGAATGGTAAGAGTTGGGTGTTTATTTGCAGACCTGGTAAATCTATTCATTTCTATTAGTGCCTTATCTTTCTTTTTTATACATAGTCTGTGAACCAACTGGCAATGGAAACGAGAAAAGTGATGAAGGGAAATCATTCCAGAAAGACAGCTGCATTTGTCAGGGTAGGTGCAAAAGTCAAATATATTTCTAGATTCTTCATCCCATGTGCACAGATGTTACGATGGGTGGAGCCTAAGGTTGTAATTTATACAGAGGAAATACATTTGTGGTTTCCATATTACTTATCAACTCACTTTCCCTTATGGGCACTGATATTTACTCACTAACAGCCAGTTGCTGCCATCCTCATTAGACAAAACTCCTGCAGAGTCCAATGAGTTTGCCTAAGTAAGGGTGATAAGATTCGGTCCCTAAGTGAGGTTTTTTAAGCCCTCCTTTAAGGAAATTTCATTTTTCCAAATTGTCATTGTATGCAAGCCAGTTATATAAAGGGGAGAAAAATGCTGCTGCAAGCTAAATGGCATGACAATGTGTATCATAATCAAAAAATCAAAGTGGATACTTATATCTAAAATAATATATTCTCATAGTGCAGATGTGTCTTTACACCAGAACTATATGATTCATATATATCAGCGTGCCAGTTTTTCCCTGAAGGATCCCACCTTCTTAGAAAGTGTAGATCTTGCTGGGGAAGGATTAAGTGGATTGTGTTGACTCACAGTCAAGTGACTCATGGTACCTGGATATACGGGAAGTGGGATTGACTTTCTGGAGAGAGAGAGGATCTAGGGTGTGGGTTGATCACTCCTGAGGGAGGAACCCTAGGAGCAAGAAAGCCTTCAAAGAAGTTCTAAGCTAATCTTTATTTTATTGTTTTCACTGTTAATAAAGGGAAACCCCAAGAATTGGGTCAGTTTGAACTTCACATACTTGGTGGGCCATGTTTTGTAGAAGAAGGTGGGAAAGATACCTACTCATGTTATATTTTTAAGCTTTTGCTTGAGCATATACAACAGTAGTTAACAAACATAGTCCTCAAATTGCTATACCTCTGATTTAAGAAATTATTTGAGTCATGTTTTCATACATTTTCTTCTTTTCTTAGGCTTGTGTTGCCTTCTGCTTCATTACAATTCCATCTCTGACTAGTATCTTTGCACGTCTTAATTTGTACCTGAACTCTGGACAGGTTGCCCTGGCAAATCAGTGCCTTTCACAAGGTAAGACAGGTGTTTTTTTCCATTGCATAATAATCCTTTCTTGCCAGAAAACAGAATATTACTAGTTGTGGATAATATTGATTCAGTTTGAAACTGAAGTTAACTCTTTCACTCCTTATTCTTACACACCTTGCTGTAGTCACAAAGTAAAATAATTCTAAAATGTATTTTTCTAAATTATAGCATATTTAAAATTTAGGAATTATTGTAGAAAAGAGAGATCTGCTATTCAGGTATTTATTCAACTATTCCTTATTTTAGCCTCAGCTATGATTTTTTTAAATAGCATATCTTCAGAGAAAGCAGTGCTGTTTTAAATAAGGGACTTGAACTTGTGTGCAAATAATGTGCTTTAAATACATTTTTCTTGAGGAGGAGGAGGAAACTTAGACCAGCTAAATGATTATGCATGGAGATTGATATTCCTGTAAAAACTGTTGGCGAAGAATTAAAGGTCTAAGTACTTCAGTCAGGTAGCCCTAATCATTGATTGTGGTGCTGCATTTTGTTGTGGTACTGGAAGATAGATGTCAAAGCACAGAAGGAATATGCCATGAAGAAAATACTTTGCTAATAAAAATGTGTCACGTGTTCCAGAGAAACTAGTATTGAAACTAGAAACTCGCTCTCCTCCACCATCGCTCAATACTCACTTTCACTGGGCTGGGGCAGGGGGTTGGGATGCGGGATGGGGTGAGGCTCCGGCTGGGAGTAAAGGTTCTGGGGTGGGCTTGGGGATTAGGGGTTTGGGGTGCAGGAGGGGACTCCCGGCTGTGGTTGGGGCTGAGGGGTTCGGCATGAGGGAGGGGGCTCTAGGCTGGAGCGGGGGTTGGGGTGTGGGAGAGGGTACGGGCTCCGGGCTGGGGCAGGGGGTTTGGGTGTGGGGGGGTGAGGGCTCCAGCTGGGGGTGCGGACTCTGGGGTGGGGCCAGGGATGAGGGGTTTGGGGTGCAGTATGGGGCTCTGAGATGGGATGGGACAGGGGTTTGGGGTGCAGGAGGGGGTGCAGGCTCCGGCAGGAAGTTTGGGTGTGGGAGGGGGTTCCGAGCTGGGGTAGGGGGTTGGGACACGAGGGGGTTCGGGGTGAGGGCTCCGGGTGGCGCTGACCTCATGCAGCTCCTGGGAAGCAGAATCATGTCCCTCCGGCTCCTAGGCAGAGGGGCAGCCAGGGGGGTCCGCATGCTGCCCCCACCCGCAGGCACTGCCCCCACAGCTTCCATTGGCCATGGTTCCTGGCCAATGGGAGCTGTGGAGCTGGTGCTTGGGACAGTGCCTGCGGGCGGGGGCAGGGTGCGGAGCCTCCCGGCTGCCCCTCAACTTAGGAGCCAGAGGGACATGCCAGCCGCTTCCTGGGAGCTGTGCGGAGCCGGGCAAGCAGCCTGTTTGCCCCATTGGCGCTGCGGCCAATCGTAGAATCATAGAATATTAGGTTTGGAAGAGACCTCAGGAGGTCATCTAGTCCAATCCCCTGCTCAAAGCAGGACCAACACCAACTAAATCATCACAGCCAGGGCTTTGTCAAGCCGGGCCTTAAAAGCCTCTAAGGATGGAGATTCCACCACCTCCCTAGGTAACCCATTCCAGTGCTTCACCACCCTCCTAGTGAAATAGTGTTTCCTAATATCCAACTGTGACAGACCCAGACCAGTGGGGTACAGGAGTCTGGTAGAGGGCAAATATACTGGTCACTGGATGAGTAGTTTTCTGATCCCTGAGTCACCAGAGCAGGGGCTGCACTAGAGTAATGAGGAACCTGCTAGAACCAGTTAAGGCAGGCAGGCTAATTAGGACACCTGGAGCCAATTAAGAAGCTGCTGCTAGAATCAATTAAGGCAGGCTAATCAGGGCACCTGGGTTTTAAAAGGAACTCACTTCAGTTTGTGGTGGGAGTGTGAGGAGCTGGGAGCAGGAGGCGCAAGGAGCTGAGAGTGAGAGGGTGTGCTGCTGGAGGACTGAGGAGTACAAGCGTTATCAGACACCAGGAGGAAGGTCCTGTGGTGAGAATAAGGAAGGTGTTTGGAGGAGGCCATGGGCAAGTAGCCCAGGGAGTTGTAGCTGTCATGCAGCTGTTACAGGAGGCACTATAGACAGCTTCAGTCCACAGGGCCCTGGGCTGGAACCCGGAGTAGAGGGCGGGCCCGGGTTCCCCCCAAACCTCCCAATTGACCTGGACTGTGGGTTCTTCCAGAGGGGAAGGTCTCTGGGCTGTTCCCCAACCCACTCTGAGGCAAGAAAATCCACCAATAAGCGCAGGACCCACCAAGATAGAGGAGGAACTTTGTCACACAACCTAGACCTCCCTCACTGCAACTTGAGACCATTGCTTCTTGTTCTGTCATCTGCCACCACTGAGAACAGCCTAGCTCCATCTTCTTTGGAACCCCCTTCAGGTAGTTGAAGGCTGCTATCAAATCCCCCCTCACTCTTCTCTTCTGCAGACTAAATAACCCCAGTTCCCTCAGCCTCTTCTCGTAAGTCATGTGCCCCAGCCCCCTAATTATTTTCGTTGCCAACTGGACTTTTAGTGGCTCGGTCAGCTGTGCTGGCCGGAGCCGCCAGGGTTCCTTTTCGACCTGGTGTTCGGGTCGAAAACTGGACGCCTGGCAACCTTAATTGACTAGTATCGAGAAATGCGAGGAATCAAAACATGTGCTCATTTGATCTGAATTATTATCAAACTAATGCCTGAACATGGTGTTCAGTCAGGGGCTCTGTTTTACTAGATGTCTTAGATAAGATGTAAAACAGAAGTTCTGATCACTTGTGGTTTAAAAAAAATATCCCATGGCAAGAGTTATGAGTGTTAGCCCTGGTGTCCTGTTCAAATTCCAGCTTGAGCATACTTGCCTAAAAGCAGCTTCCTCTACTTCACCTGGATACAGTGTCCTTCATTCCCTGTCTTAAGCTGTTACGCAGTTTTACTATGCGCCCGTAAATTGTTGTGATCTTTAGCCTCAGAGATTACTGTGTTTCATTGCTGGGTGAAGGGCTTCCCATATGCTGTATATGGTTTGCATAATGCTTGGGGATTTTTCATGGTCTTCTCTTTATCTTTAATCATGTCTTGTATGTTAAACATTGTTTTTCCCTATACTTTTTTGTGCACTTCTGTAGTGAAAGCCATAAATTGCATTACTATGAAAACATCATCTTGTGGTGGCTGTTATCTCTGATTTTAGCTTTGTGTATGTATATAGAAGAATTAATGAAGCTCATGTTGTAACATTTTAACCAGTACTTGTTATGTATGAAAGAGGATCCCATATTTGGCTCATATTGCTGTCACTGCCACTATAACTTACTATGAAATATCAAGGGGTGTTTGGGTGGGATGGGGAGAGGGCGGACGACAACTGATGCAATCGGGGTGGGTTTTGCATGTAAGTTGACAAATCAAATAAAACTTATTTTTAACAACATGAACTTGGCTTGAAGGGTGCAGGCACTTGTGTTTAAAATTTACACTTGTCTTGCTGGGTGCAGTGTTGTTGTTGTAGCTGTGTCAGTCCCAGGACATTTACTCCTGGGGGAATTCTGTGTCACTGTGTGCATAATTAATGAGACATGCATATTTTTAATTTTTTGCGCAGAAGAAAGCTTCTGCTGGAAAGTTGCTGCAGTTCTGCCTTTTGCCCAACAGAGGGCACTATGGCGCTAGAACAGAGCAACAGCTCCCGGGCAGCTAAGGGAAGGGAAAGAGCCTGCCTTCTTCACAGGGCCTGTCAGGCCAGGTCAGGAGACAAGGGCTATGGGGAGACAGACAGCATGGGGCTGCTGGGCGGTCACAGACAGGAACTCATAAGGGCTGTTGGGTCAGGGGTTGAATGGGAGTGGATCTGCAGGGCCACATGGAGACAGGGGGTGGCTGAGTGGGGGCACAGAAACACATGGGAATGGGGAGGGGTGCAGGGCCACATGGGGATGGGGGAAGTGGGGGTGGAGGGACACATGGGCAGGGGATGCAAGGACACATGGGGGTGCAGGAACACATGGAGACAGGGGCAGATGTGCCTGACTGAATGGGAGAGGCTAGGGGTCCGCCAGAGTCTGCATGGGGGAAGCTCCCTAACAATCCCTGCCCGGCCCCCAAATAAACCTGTTCCATAATTTTCCCACCCATTCCCAACAACCCTCCAAGTTCACACCCAACCTCCTTCCCAGCAATTTACTTCCCTCTCCCTCAGCTCCAACTCCTCGAAGCCTTTGCACTGCTTCTGTGGGGGGTGGGAAATATGGTTCTGTATTGTAGTTTAAATGAATTATTACTCGGAGTTCTGTATTAATGTGCCTAGTAAGGAATCTATTTGTTAAAAAACATTTCCTGAATCTTTTTTGTTGTCTGTATTTTTACAGACATACTTGCTGACAGCTATTCTGAAATAAATGACTTAAAATAATTGAAACTGGTGTGATTATATTGTGTTATTTTGACAAATAAAATATGCAGAATTTTGCAGAATTTGAAAATATTGTGCGCAGAATTTTTATTTTTTTGGTGCAGAATTCTCCCAGGAGTATATGGTATTAGAGAGAGAAGGTGGATGAGGTATCTTTTATTGGCCCAACTTCTGGTAATGAGAGAGACAAGCTTTTGAGCTGCACACAGCTCTTCCTTGTCTTGCTAACAGTCTGTGCCAGAATGTTACTTTGCAGCCTATGTCTGACTTCCCACCTAATAACAGGCTGTTATACTGTGGGAGGAAAGGGCTGTCATGCATATTTATTTTGAAGGCCAGTAGGAGATAAGGATGAAGTGAGGGTGTTTAAATGTCAGTAGCTAAACAAATGCAAAGCTTTAGCCTTACAGGTATACTGTAACTTTTGTAATTGAACTTGTAGCCTGACTTTAAAAAAACAAGCACAAATAAGTCATTTGCTTGTGTGACTGTTAAAGGAGGGGTCTCATATTAAAAGCTTTCAAGAAATTTCAGGTGTTAACACCAAGAAATAGTTTCAGGTGGGAAAAACTGTCTAATGAGATCATCTATTAGACTGTGAAGT